CCTATGTGGTGCGGCAAAGTTTCCTCTGATGATCGACTCTATTCGATCTGCCAAAGTTCCATGCTCGACACTGACACGTTTGTGTAGCTCTGTGGTCTCAGCGGGGAAGCGGGAGACTGAGGGGCAACTGGATTAATTTCAGTGCAACAGCGACACCCTGTGGCCATTCGACAGAATGTCATTCTCAGCCAGATTTCTGATGACTTCTAACATTTTTCCTGAATCGTCCCTGAGGTTCCGAAAGCCCAAACCGGGCTGAAAATGCACAGGAACATGTTTTTGTCAGGGGGAATTATCTGCAGATCCTGGCACAGATTACAGGTCATCCGCTCATTTGCGAGCGCAAGTTAGAAATCCAATTCTATTCCTGCCAGAGCGTTGTTGACGGATTTGGATTCAATGTGAGCAATCAGTATCATGTTGGTGAAAAGGCAGTATAATGGTCAAAAAGACATATCTGCATTATTCTGTTGAAGAGCACAGGTACTCTCATTCTGCCTCCTTGTATTCATGTCATAACAACTCTCATAGACGTATAAAGTGGTCCTGTGTGATCCACACTGGTAAGTGACAGCTCACTGCAAAGGGCTCAAAGCGAGGGTAAATATGTACAATTTACCTCAACGTTAGCAAACTGACATTAACTTTGAGTTGTTTGCACAGTGGTGAGGAGTGATTCATTTCATAAACCGTACTGTGTGCTGTGATATAACCCTTTCTGAGTAACCGGGTCCAAACAACACTGAACTTTTTAAATGTTTGGTTTTACCCTTAATTTAAAGGATTTCTGTTTCGGAAATAGAAGAAAAATTGCTAAAAACATGAGGCGGCCGAAAATTAAACAAGAAACAAAAATCTATGAGAAAGCAAAGCTGGGCAGAAGTATCTTTCATCATACCAGTGTACAGATAACTGTGCGCAAATGACTGAGTGGAACAGTTTTATGATGCTATTTGTCAGCCGAGTGACAGTAAAGAGAACTGTACAAATTTCATGTGACAGCCACAATTTCGTGGTGGCAGGGACGAGTCCTTTGTTTGCAGCAGACAGAGCGGAGGTGACAGGAACAGCAGAGTGAGAAAGAAGCTCTGACATGAGGCATGCAACACATCCCAAGTCAAAATCAAACCAGGGACGTTTGGGGAATCACTCAAGTGTGTGTGACTTTCTTTTCTGATGTTATACAGACTGCCTGGGGGAAGAGATTAACAAAAACCTACCAAAAGGACAAAGAAAAATTACTCACCGAGTATCAGAATAGAGTCTTCTTTTTTGATCAGTTTTTCTAGAAGGTGCTGGAATTTGGAGAGGCTGCCCAACCAGTCATAGCTCTGCTCCGTCTTGTATCTCTCGTCCCAGTAGTCAACGTCTTTGTATCTGGAGTTGTCATCTGGAAGGTGTTCCATGTTCTCTGCAAAAAAACTGAGTGTTTTTCTAGATCCTGCATATGCCCCCAATGGCGGTATTTGACCATGTTTAGTTGTTTACCTTCACCTCCTCTCATAATGGGGAGTCTTTGTCAGATATAAGTGGTGTTGCCCGATTCTTTAGTTGGAAGCCTGAGAATAAACCAGAGCGCCCAGTTCTAACAGTGGTGACTACAAGCTCTTAATAATTCTACAAAGGCTTCCTAAAACTTAAAAAATAAACCTTTATAGTTCTTAAAATTAAATTGAAATTATAAAAATGTCACACATTAGCATGAAGGTGTTTAATAACAAACTAGGTTAACATTTATAACCACATGCACACAAAAACAGTATCTTATTTGTTCCCATTTTCTGATATGTTTCACTGAAGAAAAGCACGTATTTTGGGGTTGTATCATACAGTAATGCCATTTTATGTCAGCCTACCGTGACTATTTGCTAAACAGTTGACTCGAACAGTCTTTCAGTTACTTTGTGCGCAATGCGCATGTGCAGTAGAGTAAACCTACTCTACTGTTGAGCGATGAAAGCTCATAAAAATAAACCCATTACTGAAAATGGGCTCTGAATTGCGTTTTACTTACTTTTCAATTACGAACTAGTTGGCAGCTTCAGCACTTCCGTGGCGGATAAAATCAAAGCCGGCTCCTCCCTGTGAAAGAATCCACGTGTTGTAGTTTACAGCACACAAAAACAGCCCCTGGAAATGACCAGTAATCTTCCTGTGGGTGTGTGTGTACAACAACGTGGCCAACGTAACCGTGTGCGAAATAACACCAGTCGAAAATAAAAGTTTTGTTTGATATTTTTAAAGGTGAGGCTCGCCAAACCTTCCCGGTGTCTTCTACAACTCAATGTTTTGCTGTAGGCGGAGCAACATGTTTTAACACGTGGTCGTCCCGCAGTCATGTTGCTTTCAAATACCTCTAAAATAATGGGTCATTTTTTAATATATAAGTTACACCTCAGTAATAGATTCTCCCGTCTTCCCTTGTTTGGTCTCGATAAGTGAGGAAATGTTTCCTTTTTTTCTTTAATCGCAATAGTTGGCTAATAGTGTCTTGATAATGAAAGTCATTTTGATTTGTATAAATTCATCGACTGATGTACTCATAAAGAACCAAGAAAAAAAGTATAAGGCAGTTAGTAATAAAGCAATTTGAACAAGTTTCTGTTATGAGAAAATAGTTAAATGAATTTTGATTTGGCACATCACACATTTTAAACATTCCAAACAATGTATTACTAAGGTGTTACAAATGTATTTGCTGCAAATGAAAAATCCTTTCATCTTTAGCAAGATCTAAAGACGATATAACCATCAAATATATCACAAAGCTCAAACACATTATGCTTCTACTTTTATTGGAAGTGAACGTCAAAAAGACTAACTATTCTGTTTCTAAAGCATAAAAACAGACATCACTAACAAGTAGATAAGTCATTTGAACAAATCCACCATATAGTTGATCAATCCATGGGAAGCTGTGAGAAGAAGCTAATGAATTCACTGCATGTGTAATAACTATAAGCACATAGGTTGTATCACATGATTGATTCACAATTTGGCCAAAACTTTAGAAAGTTATGTGGATGGGTTACCTTTTTAAATCTTTGCATGATCAAACCATTTCTTTAGCTATTGCCTTTTTGACTGGCTTCAGTGCCAGATTTAGAAGATACTTTTTTTCTTCCTTTTCTTAAATTGGAGTTTTGGTGGTTAATAAAATGTGCACCACCATCATAAACTGAAAAGCACAAACGCTTCAGACTCTTATGTGGTTTAATCTATTTCAAGTATGAATCTGTGTAAACAGCAGCTTTACCATGATCAGAGCAAACATTAACTTTTCTCTGGAGCATCCTGTCACAGAGAAATTGTTGAGGCCATTTGTCAAATGGAGTAAATCTTTTAGCTGTCACAGCTACACTAAATCATTCTGAAGACATTTTGAAAATAACTAAGACTTCTGGTTTTGGATGTGCAGACTGAAAGAACATAAAAACACAGCTAAACAGACCACAACGACACAAAATCTCATTTTTGAACAGTAATACCGCATATCCCCCTGTAGATGGTGGCATCACATTGATATTTCCTGGTTTTATACCTTGGGGGGAAAATGGTTATATTCTCTAACCAGAACTTCACAAAGAAGTCAATCATAACAAGCTCATTTTATTATGTTTCCCTTACCAAAAAAAGAATGGTTTGAACAGCCGCAGAAGAGCATACGTAATCTGCAAGCAGGCCTTGATTTTTCTCAACCAGGATTATTTAATCTGCCAAATTCTTCCGTGGGATTCTTCAGCTGCAGTGCTGCTTATGTGTGTCACCGGCTTCTCTGGGTACAGCTGTCACAGAGAAATGCATGAGCCATGACTTCATCCTGTTTCACTCTCCATTTTACATTTCCATTTGACATTCAAACACAAAACCTTGGTGGGGAATGTGTTTTCAGAGGTATCACTTCTCCATTGTTATTTCACAATTGAAGCACAATGATAATAATAGAACAGAATAGAATAATCTGCATTTTAAAATAGGAATCAGGACATCGCAGCTAGTCAATATCAATGAATGGAATTAAAGTAGCTAAGGTGCATGAAAAACCTTTTCTTCTGTCCCATATGTGCTTAATGTGAGTTATGTAAGCTTCATTTCACTCCACCTCACAGGGAATTAAACCTGGAACCCTCTTCCTGTGAAGTGAACCACCAGCATGGCTTAAGGAGTTAACACCACTTTGGGCCATATTCCTGGATTCTAGTCATGTTCTAGATTATGGGAAACTTCAGGAAATGGAGTACCATTTGTGCACTTCTTGTTCTTACCAACAAGTCTTTACCGGGACCTTGTCACCATAGATATAAAATATATGTAAAGCGACCTTTATTTGTCTAACTCCGGGGAAGTCTGTTTCCAGGGGCCCATAGTCTCCTAATCCCTGTCTGTCCACATGTTCCCCAGCTGCTCTCAGCTGATTAAGGGCTTTACCGGATCCTACACTCTGTGTTGGGCACTGCATCATAGTTATGTAACTTCATTTTCGGCTTTTGGGTAGTAGCCCTATTGTGGAGATATGTTCATGAAAGAATACGAAAGGAAGAAAAAAAAGAGGTATAAAGCATCTCCCACTCAAAATGTCCCTTTCCTTATCGTGGCCACAAATAACCCAGTTCCTCTGCTGTTTTTTAGAAATTTCCATCAAACCGACGGAGACGCCGAGATCCATTCGGAGCTGCAGAGGATCATTCGGAGTCGGATTCCTCTGCATAGTGGAAGCACTATCGCAGACCACGTGAGAGGAATATTCAATGACGGTCCCCGGCAGAGCGGCTCATCCCCGCGGGCACTCCCCTGCTGCTGACCAGGGCTCCCGGACGCGCAGCTCCCCACAAACAGGCGCGCAGGGCGGAGCGCACCATGTCTGAATGTAACCTCTGATATCCAGCCAATTCCCTCTTCTTTTTCTGTTCTTTTGTCTTTGTTTTTCTCCCCTTTTTTCCTCCGTCTGTAACTCGGACAGTTGAGGGGGTGTGTGTGTGGGGTTTTGTGGGGGGGGTGGGATGGCTTGGCCGTGCATCAGCAGAGTGTGCTGCCTGGCTCGCTTCTGGAACCAGTTCGACAAGTCGGACCTCTCCGTGCCGCTGACCATCCAGAACTACTCGGACATCGCCGAGCAGGAGGTGCGATCGGTCACCAAGCAGGTCTCCAACTTGGAGCGCGCGCCCGGGAACGACTACTCGGCCCCGGAGCCGCGCGCCCGCGGGTCCCCGCACGCGCCCGCGGACGCGCCTGCGGGGACCCGGGGGTCGTTCAGGGGACGGAGGGAGCCCAGCTACAAGCCCCGGGACGACTACCACCCGCCCGGGGTGCCTTTCACCAGCGTCACGCAGTACAAGCAGGATTTCAAACCCTGGCCCATTCCCAGGAAGGAGAACTTCCCCTGGATTAACAACGGAGGGGGCGGCGGAGGGGGGGTTCCGGACAGCCACCAGGTCCAGCCCGGGGAGAGCCGGGCTGACCGGGAGGAGCGGGCCAGGGGCCACAGATGGGGGGAGCAGCAGGGGATGGAGGAGAGCAACACCAGCTCCTACAGGTAGGCCCAAGTCTCATTTCAGCACCTGGCGCTGTCCAGTCCAATCCCAACCCCGCATCCATCCCTCATGAGACTCCAGTTATTTAGAGTTCTGAGAGACACAAGGCTGCCTCTATCAAGCATGCATGGAAAGGAGGGCTGGGGGAGTGATCAATAATTCTCTCAGACATTCTATATTAATGCCCCCGAAGGGTCTAAAGATATGAATGTTTGATTTAGTTAGCGTTCGATTTAAAGTATGACGTAGGTAGCTTTCAGAAAACTCCGCTTGATGTTATTTAAAGGACCTCAGATGCCTTTCAGGCAGTCCGAGGGACCCTTCATGAGCAGCAGATATCAGAAAAATACAAGTAACCCACAGCCAAGCACTGCTTCAAAAACAGGTTTAGAATCAAGTTTCGGTCTCGTCTCCAGAGGCCCGACCGATGACTGATGTTTTTTTTTTATCTTCCTCAGGCAAGAGTACAGGCCGTGGACAGGGGCCAAACCAGCCAAAAGCGTGAGGAGAAACCCCCCCGCTCAGTACTCCAGCCCGGGGACGGAGGCCGCCGACATCCCGCGCGAGACCAGCTACCAGGCCGCCTTCAGCGGGGACGGAGGCCGGTCAGCAAGTGTTTGCTCACCGGCCGCTCCCACCATCCAACCTCCCCCCCCTGTTTCCAAGTACGGCCTCCAGCAGAGCATCCTGCCCCAGAGGACCGAGTCCAGCGGAGCCAAGGGAGAGGTGAGCGCCCTCAAGTCCAGGACCTGTTTTATATGCATGTTGAAACACTTGAAGGCTCGTGGCTCCGTGTTCAAACCGCCACACGCTGTTCAACGAACTCATCTTTTCCCGTCTCCCGTGAGTCCTGTTGCCGTGGGGGCAATCTCAGAGAAGTGATACAGCATTCTAGCCCAAAGCAAGCTCAAAGTGACCCAGCTGTTTGAAACAGGCCGAGTGCTCCGTTAGGTAACTCTGCTGGTGCTGCACTCATTCCTCTGACCTGAATAAAACAGGGCTGATGCAAAGTAAACCGTAGCGGCTGTGGTCAATCTAAGCCAAAGGAAAAGCACAAAAAAGTCATTCAAATTGGTTATTAAAAGTTAATTGTGATCATAAATGTTATCATTTACTAACTTGATAACTCACAAATCATATTACGACAACTATAAACAATATTTATATGTTACAACATAGTCATTACTAACATCTCTTAAAAGTTTAGGGCCAAGCATGAACTCAGATTTCTTAGGTAACATATCAAGTTAATGGTCAAGTAGGAAATAACTGTAAAACTGAGTACAAGTCCTCTCATAAAACCAAATAATAATAAGAAATATTGCCTAAATTGCTCATAGAAAATACAGAACTCTTGGACAGTGAGAACAGTGAGTAATACAAGGCAAACGAGCATTCATTTCCCTAAACTCGGGAAACGTAGCCTTAGGGGGAAGAATCAGTGGAATATTTATGCAATTTCCACATTTTGTCCCAGATTCGTGTTAACATCAGAGACTGAAACACAAATACAGTGTTATTGGAGATTTAGGACCACAGAAAAAAAAAAAAAATGCCTTGTAGACGTTAAGATCCGCAGACGAATCTGAGAGCTCATCAGTCCGTTTCCAGATTAGGACAGACTGTGCGGGGGGGACGTAATCCCACCTTTTCCTCCCCTCTAACAGGATGTCGGCTCAGAATCGATGTGGTGGGACAGTTACGGGGACTCTCCAGAGGTTTAGTGCCATCCCCCCCCCCCCCCCCACCCCACACACACACACACACACACAATTCCCTGCTCCATCTGCCAGCGTCGGGCCGAGGCCGCTCTCACTGGGTTAGGTCAGGTAGTTGGTCTGTGCCGCAACAGCTGCTCCCATAATCCCGTAGATATCGTTTTGGGGGGGGGGGGGGATGACCAGGCGGCGCCTTTGTTGTTGATCTTGCCCTCACTTTTTCTTTGCGGGGGAAGAGGTGACGTGCACGTGTAATTAAAGGGCCCCCGTGGACTATTTGCACTGCATAAAATTCTGAACCATCTCTGATTCGTAGGGCTGTTTTGGGTGATGATGATGATGATGATGAAGAAGGTCGAATTGAGAGATGTCAATGGGAGGACACGGGCTCTAATAATAACGCCGACCCAGTTGGAGGTTGAGTTCACAGAAAGCCCGTGCTGCGGGCAGCGTGTGGGAGCTCACAGACGGTTTTTCAGACTGTGCATTTGTCAGCGTTTCTCGCGTCAATCTCGTAGAACAAACTGACAAAAGTGACAAAAGCTGGCCTCGGCCGCGAATCAAGTTGATCTCAGATAATCCGCCCCGGCCCCATCGCCGCCAACTCATTAATGACCAACCAGCTCCCGGCAGAGGCGTCTGAGCGGGCATTACACACCCCAGCAGGCCTCTCTGGGTGGGGGGCTTCCTCCTTCTCTGGTCCAGTTGTGTAAAATGCACATCTTCCCTGAGATTTGTCTCCACTGGCACTTTTAAGGTGGAACACACCAGCCGGTATACAGACCAAGGCTGTGTCTGCTCACAGATAGGTTGGGTGGTTAAGTCCCACACGGGGAGCCGGAATCAAAATCAATCTGCTTTAGATGACAGAGGGGGGAAAAAGGCGGCCATACAGTTCTCATTACTGTTACAATCAATTAGCAAAATTGTGTGTCGGCTCACCCGGAGCGGATAAAACCGTCTCAACGAGGCCAAAACTGGCTCTAATTTTAAGGTCGACAGCAGGCAGCTGAACGAGGAGAGCAGGGTGGAGGTTTTAATGACGACAGGGCTGGCTTTTTCATGAACTTTATGATTTCACAGACCTAATTTAAAGCAGCGAAAGGTTTAAACAAAAAGTTAACCCTTTGAAACGAATCGGAATGAATCTGGACACAGCACAGGAGTCAAATGACACAAGAGAAACAGATTTTTTAACGGTGTGACGTGTAATCTGCCGTGTTTGTCCGGGATGAACAAAACAAGACGGTTTTGTCGTGGTCATTTTAGGGTCGGCAAACCCAGTGAGATCATCTAATATTGGAGAGACAACAGAGTGACGATGAAAGTGTTGCTCACATCGGGTCAAAACTGCATAAAGAGGATTAGATCGCCCTCTGGGACAACGCACATCCCGAAATCCACTTTCCCGTTACGTCCTCTTAGCCCATTTCGCTCCGGCGCTCCACTTAACCAGGAGGGAGGGGGGGGAGTGGCGCAGGCCTGTGCTGGGATCTGGCTTTCCTCTCCTGGGACCTCATTTAGAGAAATATGAGCAAGGGCAATCTTTTGAGTTATGAGGGGAATTAGGCGAGGAAAACCTAAATTGGGATTTTTATTTAAAGTCCGGCCTTTAGTTGTTAACCACAGTTTGATGTTTATTTGTAACACAGTCTTGACGACTCAACTGAATTCGATGAGCTACACAAATTGATAATAAAAACCACGAGTTTTTCCCCCTTATTTGGTTACCTGTTCGTAAGTGTAATGCTTCAATTTCTATCAATTTAAGTTTGTTGTAGACAAACCAAACAAGCAGAAAAACCCAAAATGAGGCTGAGGCACTTCTTTAAACCTCCCCCTCCCCTCCCCAACATTGCAATCCTCTACCCTATTGCCAAGCGCCCCTCCAATTATCTCTCCCTTTTTTGTTGTTTTTTTTCCACTTGGACCTCATCCCCATTCCCACGCCACCCGGCACCACAGAGAGAGGTTTTGGGGCCAAACTGGCAGAGCTTAAAGGGGCTGGGAAAACTCCGCTTTAGGAGCAAAAGGAAAAAGGCAAGAGGAGATGGAGGGGGAAAATAATGAGAAAAGATAAGGCGCGAGGAGGAATGTGATAGGTGCGGGAAAAGGGGAGAGAGGGAGGGAGAAGGGAGCTTCGTTTGATGGATTATCTGGTAAAGTGCAATGTTGCACGGGGTAGCAGTCTTGCTCGGCACTAATCTAATTTAGGAAGGAGACAGGACCTGCTGCTACACAGAGCAGACAAGACAGAGTGTGTGTGTGTGCGCAGTGGAGGTGAAAACATTTGCTGAACAACCCCCCCGCTGCCTTCCTTGCCACCCACACTGCTATGAAGTCACACTCCCGGAGGTGCTGGGAACACCAGCTGACAGCCCTTCAGAGGGCTCGGGCCCTAATTGCCTGATGAAAGGCCGATAAGCAGCATCATATTTCTGGCAGCTTTTTTTAGGGCCCGATCCTTAAGGGACGGCCAGAGGGAGCAGCACATCGGCCGCTTTTTTTCCCCTCCGCCTTCGCCGATCAGGCCAGATAGGATTCAGGCTGGGCTTTGACAGTGTGGCCCATCAGCAGGGCAGAGCATCAACCCGCTCCAGGCTGATGTCTTTAGACGCCACCGGCCGGTCAGCCGGTCTCCTCTCATTTCACGGGTCCACAAAGAGCTGTTTCATCTCTCTCCGATCCGCCTTCAAACCTGCCGCATCACCTCTCGCTCTGTCTCTCTCTTCCTTCCTTTAGGAGCATCTGGTGAGGACCAAACTCCCCCCGAACCCTTCTGCTGTCTTTCAAAGTGGGTCGAGGGTCTTTAACATCTGACGGCTGCCGCCGCTCTCCCCCCCCCACTGCGATTGGTTTCAACTGTCCGGGAATCAGCAGGGAAATGCTGCCAGCCCATTCCACACCACGAGAATCTATGCAAGGGAATTTATGGTCGAGCCTTGTAGAGCTGCATCTCATCCCAAGAGGAGACAGATAAACACCTCTCTTTTGCACTCCTCCCCACCCCCCCTGTTGCTATGGAAACAAAAGCGCATGTCACCGATTAGTTTTGGCACAAACCCCCCCCCCCCCCTTTCTTTTTTGGGTTTTAGACTCAACTGGCTGCTCTGTGCGTGTTTGTGTGTGTGTGTGTGTGTATGCGCCTGCTGATTTGTCCTTTTCCTGTACAGAGGACCTGGTTTTGTGTTAACTCAGAATGCTATTATACCCTTGGGTGTTGCTAGATATCTGCTTGAAAATAAGTTATTTCCTCAGTCGACTACGTTTTGAAAGTTTTCTTCAGTGTCTTTTTGAAAATGTATTGAGAAAGGGAACAATTACTGTCATGTAAGAGGAATTACAATAAAAAAATTAGGTTCTCAAAACCTTTGTCAAGACCTCAGAGGGGCCTCCACGTATTTTCTCCTACCACCATCACATTAGCTCCAATATTAAAGCATCTTAGGCACTGACTATGAAATTGCAGGCTTTGAAAAATGCCATCATTTGGATTCTAAAAGACTAGAAATGGAAAGCGTGCATATCAAAAATGTCTTTTGATAGACAGGGTTTTTAAGGATCTGAGGGTTATGGCAAAATATGAAAATGCTATTTGTTTACCTGGTTTTCCAAATCATTATTTATAATGACAGCTACACAGATATCTCTCCCTAAGTACAAACGTTTTACTGACTGTGTTCAGAAAGAAACTAAAAAAAAACATAAAAAAAACAGACACAAAAGTGATCAGCATGAAATATTTCACAGTTTAGTATAAGAATATTAACTTTTGGTTCGCACTGAAAAAGGACAATACATAACATTTAGGCATCTTGTACACTAATTAGATTTTGGTTTTACAGGCATCATAACCACTCGGCCCGAACTCATTCACCTGTCAAACAACACGCATTAACATGATGTAAACTTTCACATTAAACAGATTTATCCAACACAACGACATTGTTATTTGTATCAAATGACAAAACACCTAACAGTCACTCACAACGCACTTCTTAGACTTCTGTGGGGCACAACATCCAGGATCCACACTTATATAAACACACTGCTGTGGGGGGGGGAGTTATTGTTTAAGGGTGTCGAAGTTAGATAAAAAAAAAAAAAACATCATTTGAAAGCAACATAATCAAGACACTGGTCATCAGCAACAATCAGCCAAACATGAACAATCAGGAGTTTAATACGTGTTAGGTGCTTATGATGCTTGGTCTGACTGGGCTTTGGGCAGTTTAGAGGCTGACTCAGCACTTTGTGCCTCATTATTGTGAAAATGATTAGGTGGCTGTGCGCAAGTGCCAGGACCAAAGTGTCCCCCGGTGGACAGGCTGCACGGCACCAGGAGGACGTCGGGTTGTGGCGGGTTCGCCTCAAAGCACTTTAAAGTTGTGAAACGGAAAACTTTTTTAAAAAACGGCACCGACGTCTTGTTCCCCAATGTCCAACACTATGACCAGTGTCTCCCACTTGTTCCGATGTGACATTGCGTTGAACGTGATGAGGCCAGCGGCTATTTATAAATATAAAACGACTCCGTCACTTCTTGTGAAGATCCTTGGAAAAAAGCAGTTGCTTCCTGTGTGACCACATGGCAAGACTCCTCGTTACCTCTGCAGGGTAAGACTGGAATACGTCAAAGGGTGTGGGTGAAGATGACCACGGGTTGTCGTGGCAGCAGCACCTCTCGCACACATTTCTCAGCCCAAAGCATCCCCCAGAAAAACGCTCACACGATCACTGCTGTTTGCAAACTGCTGTTCATCTGTGGATTTCCGCTGGATAAAGGACTAAATCCTAACGCAGCAGATGCAGAGGGCAGGGGAGGACAGCAGTTGTATGGTTATCATTTAGTCCTCTAAGTCACTCAGGCTTTATTCCCTATGAGCAGCTGCCTGGCAGCAAAGACTTTGTCCTCAAAATAATCGTGTTATAAAGTACGTAGGGAGCACGCCCTCTACTCTGAATGTGAATCAAACGGCGCCTTACGAGACAGCCTCTCTTAAACATGTGAAGTAAAAGGTGATAATGTACCCACAGTATTAAAAACATTAGTCATTCTCAGCAGCTGCTTTGAGAGGCAGGTGGAGCATGTTAATGAACACAGTACTCTAGTTATCACTGCACAACCTGCAGCTGTGGGACTACATCTGCCTGACAAAAGTCACATGATAGGGCCGCCACTTCCCGTGCAGACCTTCCCATCCCTCCGGACCCCGTCGGGTACCATTCGGTGTCACGCTGCCCTCAGTTGTCCTTTATCAGGTAGCCCATGTGTGCGTTGGTGAGGAAGTCACAGGTGGGGATGCTACTGACCGCCTGGTGGATGTTCATGGCTGTTATCTCTCTCGGTGCCCTTAAAAACCCAAACATGTCCGTATTAGGATTTGAGAACACTGCAGCACATTAGACTGGGACATCACTGGTCTTCTCCTGAACAGTGATCTCTGATTGAACCCACCCTGTGGTCTAATACTCGCTGTCCAGCAAAACGTGTACAGTGTAAAACCGACTTAATACTTTGCGGGCAGAGACAGAAGATTAAATCGTTCTAACGACAGAAATATGATGAGAGCATTTCTTCCATCCTGGTGTCTATTTGGTCTGGCTCAAAATAAAACCTTATAGTTGTTTGATTTGCATCTGTTGATCAAGTTATTCATATGATTAAATAATCAACATGATGGTTACGAGTCGAATACAATGAAAAAGCTGAAAAAAATTGGGATTATTTCAATGCACTGGTGGTCTGGATTATCTCTACATGTGATTGCCGAGGTGAAAAATGAAGCTCTGAGCAGAATGCATGCTAAGGAATTAAAAAAAAACAGAGAGGAAAGCTGACCTGTTAGGAGGGGATTTGGCATAAGCCCCGGCCAGAGCTTCTCTCAGGATGTCACTGGCAAACTGTTCTGTTGCCTGCAACAAAGACACATTACAAAGAGACATCACCGCCCACATCAAAGGAGAAAACTTGCTTTATAGAACACTGTGAAACATTTTAAAATGCACATTTTAAAGTACGCGTCCAAGACACTAGAATAAGAAACTAATCAATAGAAACTCCCTGATTCCGTGTGAGTATTCATTTACAATGCTTATTCATTATTTAAAACCTGAAAAATGTGTCAGTCCTAATGAAAAGATGATTGCTAGTGCCTATTCTATCCTGTAAATGGACCCACCTTCAGAATCATGGCTTCAACTCCAGGGGCAAACACATTCTTCTCCACCTCCACTGGCTGAAAGGTTATCCCGATCTAAGAGACGGAGGGTTCATCGCACAAAGGTGAAAAAGGTGCAGCGCAGTAATATCACAACATCTCTGAGGGAAATCCTCCCGTTCTGCTGACAGCGTGTCGGCAGAGACTGGGAGGGGCTCCTGACCTGCTGGGCTGTTTCGCTGACAAACTGGGAGGCCGCGCAGGGCCCCAGGAAGAATTTGGGCTCGGTGTCGGCTTCCGGTTCCTCCTCTTTCACCTTCAGCTTCTGACAGGGGGGGGTCGCGGTGACGATGTCGACCAACTCGTCGTCTGCCTCGTCCGGCTCGGTCTTCAGCAGGGCTTGCATCTGCTCCAGCCGCAGCATCAGCTCCTCGCAGCTGCTCAGGGTGGACGGGCACTCTGCGGAGAGATTCACACCTGTCATCCGGCGAGCCGCGGCCAAGCATAACCCACTAACGAGTGTGTCCAGAGATAATTAGAGGAATGCGATTCGTTTTATTAGTTCGAGAAACAGGCAATTATACATCAAGATATCTGAGCAACACAGAGGAGGCAAAGTAAATAAATAAACAACTGATTTTCAGGCCGTCTGGCACCAGCGTGTGACTCACTGAGCACGCAGCCTCGTCTCTCACCTTTTAGAGACAAAAGACTGAATTAATGAGAGCTCTGAGTGAATAGAAGTGCAGCTGAACAAAAACCCTGAGGCCGCAAAGTGCCCGCCTTCACACGCAACAACACAAAAAGTATACACGCACACACACAACACACTGAGGGTGGAGTATTGATCCACGTGAGAAGCGCTAACCCAAGTAGATGCTTTTTTCCCCCCCAGAAGACGGCCTCCGAAAAGGCGAAGGGGGAGAATTAACTCACCGGGTTCGTTATCTATTTGGGTGAGGATGTCTTCGATGGACTCATCGTCATTCTTGTTTTGGGGCTCTGGGTCTGGGGGGGTGTAGCCCCTCTGCCGGCACCACTGGACCACCTCTCTGGTTTTCGGGGGGGTGAGGGCTTGCAGGCGGGGTGAGCGATCCAGCAGGTCCTGGACAACCCGCTTCACTGCCACCGCTCGCTGAAGCTTCAGACACATACAAAAATCTGTTCAGCAGAACTATTTTTAAAAAGACTGAAATTTGCAGAATGGGATTACTTCCAAGTTTTTTTTTTTTTAGTACTGATAAAAATAAGCCTAATCTGGTGTAGAAAAATGGGTATTTTCTCCTACCCTATACACTTTTTAGGCTTTCCTCAAGTGAGCTCAGACTGTACAGAAACATGCTTCGAGCTCCCTGTCCTCAGACTAAATCAGCACCGTGAAGATATAAATACCCCGTCTGTGCTTGTCTGAATTTATGTTACAGCCTAAGAAAAAGGGAACAGACAGGGAGTGACCTGTGTGAGGGCCTGATGAGCCCGTTAGAAAGAGATGACCAGGCAGAGATACATATCTGTCCTGATGGAAAGTCGTGAAGCAAGCAGAAAGCTCAGCAGTCAGGACACAGCTCAAGGCAGATTACACAGACAAGAAAACTGCACACTGTGCTTATTATCACTGATGAAGATGTCCTCCTCCTGGAACCTGGAAAGACTATCCTCATAATACAGGGCTCCTTTCAGGTGAGACGGAATTGTTTTGAAACCGAAAAATCTCTGCTAATAGCACTGCAACAAGAGGCCAATCAGGAAGCATAATAACAAGAAAAAGTCTGGACGAAGGCTCAGCTTTGCTGCCCTATTATCTGTGAATTTACAATAACTAAAGATTTAATGTTATCAAATATGAATTCTCAGTTAGATAAGCTCACAAAAGGAGAGAAAAGGTTACCTCTGAAGCTCTGCGCTTGCCAATATTCCAAGAATAATACTGCTCAGTGGAAGAGGCACAAAACGGATGGGAGTCTTCAGCTTAAACAGACAGAAAGAAGCAATTCAAGCAGGTTGCCAAAACCCCGTGTATAGACTTTCACACTCATCAGGCAGTTCCTGTACATGGATCTCAGGTGAATGGTAGGCTTACTTTTATCGGGCACAATGAGAGGAAACTTCTTCACGACAGCTGTCAGCAGCTGCATCATGGTCTCTATGTGCTCAGTGCTGAGGGGAAAGCAGTTACGCTTGTTACTGTGTGGAAAACATCCAACCAAGTAGCAACTGGGAGGGAAAGGACTCTTAGAAAACTTCATATATTTGCACAGTCCTGGAATAAATTCACTGAACTGAGAGCAACCTTTCTTTAGTTAAAAAAAAAAGCTCTTTATAAGTCTAGTTCTACTGGTGCAACTTTGAATCAAAACCTTTCTTGTAAACAAATGATCACCAAAGTGGCCAACAGACACCTAAAAGCTCTGCCTTTTGCTTACTTGATGAGGTCGTGTGCGGAGGTATCCGCTCCTTGTTCTTGCTTGACGGTGGCTGCTGTGGAGGAGGAGGAGGCGTGGACAGGGGTGGGTGCGGGACCGGTCACTGAGGGCGATGGACTGGCTGAGATCGCTCTACTGGCACCTGGCTCTGTTTTCACTGTGGCAGCAGCGGGAGACAGCCGAGACGAACTGTTACTGGCAGCATGTTGTAGACACTCAAATGGGATGGAAAATTATGAGATGAAAGTGGAGAGATGGATTTTGACTGGGGACGATGTCTAACTTCATCACTCTGGGTATTCTCCAAATCGCCTTCAGAAGCAAGCATTAAAGTACCAGATGGTTTCTAGCTTTCGTACTTAACTAAAAAAATAATATTATCATCTGAACATTCTTAAAAGTAAAATGATGCAAGTATTGTGATTCTTGAGAATTTCTATTGAATAAAATATCAATCAGAATCTAAAATGTTGCAAAATACTTTTTTGTTTATACCTCATGTAGACACAAACTCAAAGGGAAGATGGAAACAAAATAAATGAATAGGAGATAGTTGGAATGAGGATGGACCCCTCTCACCTTGTGCCAGAGGCAGGGCAAGGGAGGGGGAGACCTGGCTGGCAGGATTTGGGGAGGCTCCAGCTCCAGATGCACCAGGGGTTGTGGAAGAGGAGAGGGAGGAGGGAACAGTGGAGACTGGGCCTTTAGACACGACTACACACAGAGAAAACATGCTCTGATGAAGCAATGGTCATGAGCAGGCTTTACAATTCGATGAAAAATGAAAGGGGATGAAGGGGCCAAACAAAAGTATCTGCTTTTAACGGTCATTTGAAAAATTATTTAAAAAAAAGAGATTATTCATAATTTATTAATCTAAAAAATGTGATAAGCTTACAAATCCATAAGCATCAATCTAGAGCTGTTTTCTTAATTGCTCTGTAACACTTTCACCATCTCTTGGTACATATATGTCTTACCTTTCCCGACTGGCATGAATATGGTTTGCAGCCCGCCAGAGCCAGTGCCAACCCCCAGCTGCTTGAGCTGGTTGGCAGGGATAGTGAGCACCGTCTGCTGGGAGCTGGCGCCTCCGGAGTGGATCTTCAGCATACCTAAGTGAAACATAACGCGTTCTGTTTGGAGGGCTTTTTGAGGCTGAACACGTGATGGTGTGTCCTGCGTGCACATTCAGACCCCCCGATGAACGCGGGGAGGGCTTTTGCCTTTTTGCCTACCTGATAACGCAGCACCTGTCTTCCCTCCTCCACCTGCCCCCCCGCTGACCACTGAGGCTGCAGAAACTAAGGAGGTGCCGGCAGTCTTAGGCACGCTTGCCGCGGAGCCTGCCCCCGCTGTTTTGGACGTGCTGACCACGGGCATGTTGGCCATTGCTTTTGCCACCGTCACGGCGGCTCCGGCTGGACCTGCTGTGCTCTTAGTCGCGGAGGCAGAGGAGCTCCCGGCTCCTTTGGCTAGGGAGGCCGCGGCCGTCTTGGAGAGGCCGCCGCTGGCGGCGCTGGCGTTCTTGGCGGCGCTGATTACTGCGGCTTGGTTGGCTGCCACCAGAAGTGAGGGGTGCTGCGGGGCGGACTTTCCAACCTCGGCAGCAGAAGCCTGCATGAACACAGGCGCAAATTTTTCAAATGAATGCTGCGCTTTTGAACACTTAAAACACATCTGTCAACCATCAGACTCATTTTGAAACGACTCTTCCCCCCTGATAACAGAGATTGTTTCACCCTGGTTCCATGAAAAAACCCACAAGGTTCAAGGATTTAAATCAATAAACAAGTTGCAATGTAATTTAACACTGTACTGGATGAAATATCAAGCTTCTCCTTATGAAAATAATAAATCTGATATCCACTGTTTAACAGTATATAACCAGAGGAGAAGAATGAGGGTCATAATTGCTTAAGATGAAGTCTGAAAGACTTTAATATTTAAGGTTTAAGGGAAGATTTTGCACTGTTAGAGGAAATATGGTCCAAGTCGACCTATAGAAGCTGTACATTTAAAGCTTTCAGGGTAAGGTCTTGGAAGCTGGAATGAATCATTTTACATGAAATATTCATTTAAAAAGATAAAAGTCAGTCTGTGTAAAGTCAGTTCATCTGAGTAAGACTTCAGAATGTTTGGTTCAAAGATCTTTTTAAAAAGAAGTTAAAAAAAATGTTGCCTTTGAAAAAGAAAAAGATTAAAGCGGACAGTGAAACTTGCCTGCTGTTGACCGGCTGCTGCTGTGGTACCAACAGGGGTGGAGCTAGCCGCAGTGATGACTCCACCTGTCATCCTCAGTGTGGTGGTACCCGGCTTCGACATGTGGCCGGATCCTGCTGCTGTTACTGTCTTAACGGAGCCATCAGACAGCTTCAGCTGAGCCCCCTGGGAGCTGCCCACCACCTGGGATTCATCAACAAGGATCAGTTATACACATAACGACTAAAACACACACATCCACCATCCTGCCAGTCATTGATCAAGTCACACTTTCCCAGTAAAAACTGATAGAGACATTAACATATACCCTCTGAACAAGAGTGGTAACAAAGAGTGTAGATTTAAAAACATATCGTTAAACTGAATTTACAACCCATCTAGATTGAGAATTGTTCAGCTGGACAATGAGGTAAGAAATTAAAGATCTGTCTTCAACATTTCAAACAAACGTTCTTGCTAACACCAAATTCGATGGTTAAGTCATGCTGTATCAAATTGCTTTAGTCCATCAATTAGTACCAAAGATTAGAGCTGAGTAATAACATCTGAAAAGCTCCTGGAACTCACCTGGGCCACGATGGCCGCCTTCTGCCCAGCAGTGACCCGGATTGCCTGCTGAGTGGCGGAAACTGAAGATGATGCTGAATGACCTGCTGCACTGGAACTCGCCTGCTTTCCTGATCCCTGTGCTGGCTGGCCAACCAGAAATGTACCCTGGAGGGGAAAAAAAGACACAGCAAAAGAAGAGAGATAGAACTTAATCAAACTGTCAAATACTTTTAATAGGACTGTAGTATTCTTTTTAAACCAAACCCAAAACTCCTCAAGTCAATCTGTCACAAGCACGCTACTGTCCATTTTCAACACTTTACAAATGGTTTCAGTTTGTCGGGTCTGAGGTCAGTGTACATACTGCAGATAACCTGAATTCCTCATATATACAGCTGTGTTTCTCTCCTAACAGCACGGACAGACGTCGTCAACACCATCAGGATCCGTCTGGCTCTAACTGCTTCAGGCAACATGAGACACCATTTCCAGCACAGAGCCTGGACTTTGGGCCCACTGGAAATCTTTAGAATGAAGGAAACTCTTTCAATACAACATTTTACTGGGTTTTGTGATCAAAGAGAATGCGATTCCAACAAATTATCGGCCAGATTGTTTTAAGTAAGACTCTTTAAAAGATGCGTCGTAAAATAGTATCAAAAATACAATTAGACTTTTCAGTCAAATCATACTTTGGATCTTAATTTGAATTGTGAATACTGTATAATTCTGTGAACAGAGCAGGGGGTAATTTCACACAACACTGTTGTTAGAAAATGGAGCCAAACCTCACCAAACTTCATTTCCATCCTATTTGTGAGACAGACTCCTAACATTCAAAGTTCAGCAGAGAAAGATAACAGGCATACTCGACAGTCAAATTAAAATTCCCAACCTACCTCAAGAACATCTGTGAACCTAGAACCTGAAGCATAACCAAAATAAATATGCTCAGTTGACTTTACAGAAAGAACTGTGTGTCTACCAACCTGTGGGGTTTGTTTGAGGATGTAGGATGTGTAGGAGAGATTGGAAGGCAGGCTGCTTGAAGAAGAAGAGGATGAAGAGGAGTTCTGCGAGCTGCCTCCCCCTGCTGACGAGCTGCTTTGGGACTGCTGACCTAAATTGCAGACAATCGTATGAACATCATTCCTCAGTTAAACAAACAATCCTTCAACTCTTTACCTCACATTTATACAAGTTGCTATTAATGTTATAATGTACAATCACAATACAAAAAAAAATAGGTAAGGAAATGGACGGTGAGTGATCGTGTGCTGCAGTCACTCACCAGCACTGGAGGCTCGGAGAATGGCTCCTTGTGGGATGAGAAGCAGCTTTCCCTTCCCAGACGGGTTCTTGTTGTTGGTGGTCAGGTAGAGCTTGGTACCCGGAGGCAAATTGGCTAGATTGGCCAAATTGTTGGCTGGGAGCTGAAGAGTAGCCATCACTGAAAGAAAATCAATTTAATAACGTACAGAAAATTAGAGTGAATTGAAACCAGTAAAGAGTACCAATATATTTCCTTAACCAAAGCTAAAAGACAGTTTGAAGCATCTACAGTTTGGAGTCAAAATCATTTTAAAAAAATAAAAAAGCCAACCATCCACTTTCTCTAAGCACTTAATGAATCAGCACTGCTTTCGCAAAACTGTCAAACTGTAACTGTTTGTGTGGGTGTGAACTCTGACCTCCACTCTTGCCGCCGGAGCCACCAGCTGCCTTAGCACCAGCCTGCTGACCAGAGATGCTGCTGGCTCCGCTGACAATGGCCTTTGCAACTCCCTGGGCCAAAACCTGCTTCCCCCCCACCACCTTAGACACTGACGGGCTGCCCTTGGCAACCAGAATCTGTCCGCTGCTGATGGCCACCTGTTTGACCGAGGACTGAAGTGCGGAGCCAACGGGAATACCCAACACCTACGGAGAGAGGAACGCTAAAATAAATTTATGGAAAAATAAAAGTGGCCAACTGATAATCCCGGGGATTAGCGATGTCACTCTGGGGATATCTGAGAATGTCTGACCTTGCTGGTTGTGGACCCCGTGGCCCCTCCTGCCTGTTTCTGGGCTGACATGGAGATCATGTGACCTCCCTTGACTGCGACAAACTGATGAGCTCCCGAAGCAGCAGGTTGCTGCTGGCTGGTTACCGTGGAAACCATCTGCTGCTGCTGTGTTGAAACTTCCCCGGGCTCCTGCTTGATGATAACCTGAATGACAAGAACGGAGCGAACGACTGTGACCAGACAGCCACGCTGCCTCGAAACCTCTGAGAGTTGCTGATATTGCAGCTGTTATATAATTTCTAAGATAGCTAGACAATGTAAATGAGGACATATCCGTTTTTAGTAGGTCACAGACAGCCGAGGACTGCGTTGTCGGCATAAATCTGCATAGTTTTCATTCATCATTTAGGATTTTGCATTTCTCATATGTATTTATCTCCAAGGGCTTTTATTCAGACAGTAAAAATCAGGACTTTATAGAGCAGAATCCAAGTCAGAGGGAGGACTGTAACAAATCTTTTTGTGGAGGGATGAAACTATTTACTTCTTTATGGTAAGCAAAAACACAATCAGCATTGAGGAGTGGGGATCACATTACCGCAAGACATTCAGAGTGAACTGTAGACTTTTCTCTGTAAAGCTGTCCCCGTCTTCAGAAACATGTCCTATTTAAATGGCTGCCAACGCATTCACATCTGCTGAAGATAGCACTCTGGCCTACTATTAATACCCTGCTGCTTTGTTAAAGACACTGACACGACAGGGACGGGTTACGGTCGCCACAGGTCAGTAAAATGAGATGCATCAACTCATAAAAGTCCAAGTTTGAGAGCAAAAGATTGAAGCATGTGCCGACTCACCTTCACCCCCGAGGAAAGAAAGGTGCCGGTGTGAACTTTAGGTGCTGGAGACCGAGCGCCCTGAGCCTGTTTGGCTGGGTGGCTTCCTGTTAAATAAGTCACACACAAAACACAACATGTCTGGAATCAGATGGGGGGGAAAAACTGTCTTTCACAACCTTTCAGGAGACATGACAGCAATACAGGTCAGAGGTGTGATGGTTTCTTTTTGTTGGCCAGAGCGACTCAGTGTGGGAGCCGGAGTCAACATTTATATGCACACTGGTTACCTACTGCAGTAAAGAGGAAAAGAAAATGTCCCAGGTTTGGTGAATCAGCCACAACACCCACACCAGCCTATATGTGATGAGACATTTAAAAGCACTCCGAGCCTTTGGATAGATCAGGTTTGAGCTGTGCACTTGTGGAAGAAGCGTAGGAGTGGCTCGGTGGGCGTAGAAGAGCAATGTGGGGGCAAGAACTCCACAGTTTAATATAAGCAGACTTCTCGGCTGCTGGGAACTGAAAACAACTATTATGGATGTAAAAAGGCTCTGCTTTATGATGCTGTGATGCACACAGGTACGGATTAGTTTCACCGTGCAGTGAACCGTCGTCTCTGCAGACTATTTGAAACGATATTTTGGAAAAACAGGACAGAAAAAAATCCACCAGTGTGCATGCTAAACCGTGTGTGTGTGTGTGTGAACTAGCATCCTACACTCTCCTCATCTGACCAGGAAATGCATCAACTCAGTTGCCATGGTAACCTCTCATCCAGCAACTTTGCTGGATAAGAGTACTGCTCACAGTGCAGTTCAACAGTGCAAAGCCAGGTAAGCAGAGAGAATAAGAGGGGAAAAAGAACATAGAGGGACACAGAACGTTTGATAAGAAAGTAGAAGGGGATCAAAGATGAGAATAAATGAGAACAGAAAAGTGTAGGGCGTAGAGCCCAGTGTCAGACGATATTCTTTAAAGCCGCTCATGTTTTTTTTTTTTTACTGTGATGCTCCATTAGGTCACAGGCCCACCTAAAATGTGAAGCAGCCGCTGACACCGAGGAGATAAATACCTGTGGAGGCAGTGGATGAGGAAGCCATGCCGATCACCTGTCCAGGTTTATCCACTATAATGTAAGGATTGTTGAGTGCAGAAGAAGAGCTTTGCTTGCTTTGGACAGGGGTGGAGGTTGAAGGTGTGCGGGGAAGCGGGGAGTGACTTGGAGTGGAGATGGGTGATCCTGGAAGTGAGAAAGAAAAAAAACAGTTATCAAATGAATAAGTCTCTTTGGTGGTCTATATTTATGTGATAATGTCAGATGTACAGTTTAAGCACAGACTTTAGGAAGGTGTATTATTTCTATTTGGCTGCTTGATATCTAAACGACTTCTAGCTACTTCTGCTAACCTAAACAAAATCTCTCTTAGATTTTCAAAGAAAAAATTGTTCATATCTATTCTATCTATTCTAAAGTGTGCCCACAGGAAAGGCTAGCTCATAGTATCATTTCTGAGCAGCACATCATATTTTAGTTGGAGTGGGTGTGAGAGTGTTTTGTTGGCATTACGTGGATTATTTACAAGAACAGTTTAAAGGAGTTCTGCCACTTAAAAAAAGATCTCTGAGGGGGAAAGAAAAATCGAATTTCTTTAAATATCATGGGATTGCGAGGGGATGAATATTCCCCTCAGAATCAGTGTGAAATGAAGAGTCCGTCTGGGTGGAGCCACCTACCCGACACTATTTTACAGCTCATGGTGATCGGCTGGAATGATTTTCCCGGAGACTCGGCAGGACTGGGGGGCTGTCCTTGAGGGACTATTTTACAGCTTGCTGTGATGGGCTGGAAGGCGGAGTTGCCATGGGAACCCAGGGTAACCCTGTCGTCAGCTTTGGGTCGAGTTGGAGTGCGTTCGCCAGCAGTGAGAGCTGAACTGTGACCAGGCCTTCCCATCTCTGCTTTGATGAAACCTGGAGAGACATGACTGTGTTTAAACACTGGCACAAAGTTACTCACAATTTTATGTATCCATTTCAACCTTTGAAGTTAAGACTGTCCATTCAAGAGAGAAAAATGATTAGACGTGTGTAATAAAACAGGAAATTACACTTTTCTAAGTTTATAATAAATTCTGTACACAGTTCAATATACAGACCAGGAAGTGGCTGTATCCTAGTTTCGTAAATGTACAAAAAGGTTTCTTCCAATGCTTATATTCAAATAGGAATTATTTCATTTAGTTTACCTTTATCAACGCTGCAGTCATCTGAAACAGGAGAACTAGAGCGTCTATAGGTCAGGGAGGAGACCAACGTAGGACTAGCTGCTCTGTGCGTCACCTTGGAAGAAGAGGGCTGAGGGATGTAGCTTTCCCCCAGAGAGTCCCTATGGAGCTCTACGTCCACAACCTGGAACAAATTAAGCCATCAACCGAAAGCTCTGAGGAGAAAAGTAAGGGTAGGAAAACAAAACGCACACGGAAGACTCACAGTTTCTGCGCCCAGTGTCTGCAGCCCTGTGTATGTTCTGTCCAGCTGCGAGAATGGAGATGTTACACTGGATTAATGAGTTACCAACATTTAATTTGTCCACAAAACAAGAAAAGTATTCAGATATAGACGGCAGAGCATACACCAAACTAACTAAATGCTAAATATTAATAATGCTACAAGACTTTTGCTTTGGTTGTTTACAAAATAAAGAAAGAAACTATGCCACAAAATCTTTTTTTAGTCCTGCCCTTCACAAATTCTGGACAGTCAACCCTCATGGGCACGTGTGTTTCTTTGTAGCAGAAGAAAAAAGGGGGGGCGAAAGCACCAATCAGATTTCTCTGAGGCAGAGTTAAAAAGTTCATATGGAAAAATACAGCGCGTCTGTCAGAGGAGGAGAGACATCTGACCTTTAGCTGGTGGATGATGTCAATACGTTTGTTGCGAGGGTCTTTAAAGTGGATCTGGATCCTCACAGGGAACTCCCCCCAGCCACGACGTGTCAAATGAAAGGGATGCTCGCTGTAGACAGACACAATCAAAATGCAAACACCACCTCATCAACATAGTTATGCACATAGGATTTAGTACTTATGCATTAATGGAAAAAGGAGGAGAAAAAAAAAGAAATAAAATCAATAACTTGAAGGCCTCATTGCTTTCCGCTTTTGAAGTTTATTTTAACTGAGACCTGCTAGCATATTTCAAGATATATGTATGAGCTTGGATCATTTATGTCTTTTCATGGTAGCCCCTTGAGTAATGTACTCATGTTTCCTACGTATATCCAAACTCTCATCTGCATTAAGGGTGCATTAGTAGTCAGCAGAGGGCATCAGGCTTGTGTAGGGTTCATCGGGAATGAAGATTTGAATCGGTCGGGCGGAGCTTATGTGCTGCTCCACCAGCAACGTGAGCACGTTGCCAGTTCACACTGCCTTGGGGATAAAACTCAGGAGGAGTGATGACTGATCAAACAGACAATTTATGCAAAAGCCATGGGCTAAGTTAAATCTTCTGCCTCTTTTAAGAGCTTAAAAGAAATTTTAAGAGCTTCAAAGTTTTTAACGCAGATTTCAGAACTACAAAAGCTGCGTTACTGCTGGATGATTCTGAAATTATCAAAACACCTCTGTGCTCTGGGCGAAGGCAGGGCCTGCACGTGTGAGCGGGGCACGCACGATCAGGCAGGTTGGGGTTTTTTTTCCCTCCGAGTCTCACTGACTGTGCTTTGAGTGAAATCGGATCTGTTTGGACAAGCTGCGTGAGGAGGTGTTGTTCTTTAGTTTTTGCTGGAGCGATCAGCACGCGTGGAAAATTGGAAAATAAGGCGAGGGTGGTTGCGTGGCATCACCAAGAAGACACAAGGGGGCACTGTTTATTACTCAACCAACCCTCTGCTTAGAACCAAGTCAACAAACTCATTTGACACTTAGTGGGTGACTTGAACTCATCAATCAGGTGACAGCTGATGTGGAACAGCGAACATAATCTAGATTGGCTGGCTTGCTACCTACAGTTTAGCAAGTGTTGTGACAGGAGAAGAGGCGGGGAAACCTACTGACTCAGAACAGCAACGCTTGGTCAAAAATGTTGTGCAAATGTGTTTGTTAATGGCTTTATCATTAATGGCTTGTGATTGAGAAGCGCTCTGAGGGTCCAACACCACCAGAGAAGTGACATGTAAAAACTAAACTTTTACCATATTCTGCTGCCTCATCAATGAGCTGATTTTTTAAAGAAAGGTTTCAACCGTCTGCCTTAAGTAGGCAGGAAACCATACAGGTACGAACCTGACTTCAACTAGATCATTAGGCTTGTAGCTGGGATGCAGAAAGAACCAGACTTTCTTCACAAAGTGGTCGATGCTCGGTTCTCTCCTTGAACCCCTGACATACACCATCCACTTATGTGTTGACTGATCGTTCTCTTCCCGTTTGTCGGGGGGAATGTACCTGCAAGCAAGAGAGAGAAAAAAACAAAAAAACAGCCAGAGGCAGTGACAATGCCGCTCACATGAATTATAAGAAACATATGTAACACAGCAATAAAACGATTGGTGGTTTAAGGCGGTTATGGGAGGAGGAGAGCCTATTGGTTTGCACAGAGCAAAACAAGTACAGGTGAAAGGGGGGGAGGGGACGACTGGAGCGGAGGTTTTATTTTTTTCAACCTCTGAATGGAGAGCAGAGAAGAATAGGGGTTTGTGGGTAACTGTGTCAGACATCGAAAATGTAAAAACACTTTAAAACAAATGAATCAGTAAAAACAAAGAACTTTTCGTTGGAACCGTCCAAAGCCTTGTCCAATGTATCTGTGACAAGTGAAGAATTACAGCCTCATTTGGCCCTCTGATTAATGTAATGGGCACAATATACCAAAGTGTTTTCAATAAAGTCTCAAAATATCAACGTGCCCTTCATCTCATACCGTATCAAGTGGTTTATGAGGAAACTGACTGGTCCTTCGGTTACTGGCCAAAGGGAAAAATAACTTCTCTGAAAAGGTATTTTCAACCCTTTTCGAGACTTGGCTCCAAGCAAAACTGTGTTGAACTCATGACAGGGAAGCTCTTGCACAAGAGCAGTTCAACAGTATGAAAAACAAAAAACAGAATCCTCAGCACTCTATTTTTGTGTGTATGTGTGAGCCAAGAGTTTTACACGTCAGAAAGTTTAGCTCTTTCAGGAAAGCTTGACAGCAAAGAAGCTGTTCAAGGGATCAGTATACGTCCCTGTGCCTGAGGCCGAAATATGGCACTCCAGAACTGTGCTTTTGTAACTGGCACAGTTATGTTTTGCTTTAAAATACAACACCATACACCAGCAACTAGTGTGTAAAGAAAATAAAATAGAAACACTTTTGCAATTAAATAGAAAGTTAAACAAAACATACTAGCAACCCCCCCCCCAAAAAAAACCCTCTGTCAGAGTCAGCAAGTACACAACCCCATGAAAGGAAGAGGGAAAAAAAGGGAAAAAGCATACACACAAGAGACAGAACAACAACAAACAGAGAGGCAGGTGGTGACAGGCGACAAGCAGAGTCAGACTCGTTGGTGTTTGTGTGTCTAATGACTGAAAGGTGTGGTTGCATGTGATAAGTTTTAAACGTATGTTTTGATTGGTTGCATACTTGGACACGTTCCCCACAACAATTGTCTTCTTTGCGTAGAGTCTCGAGGCTTCGTCTCCAGTTGTGTGGTAGGTCACCCTCTTCTCAGCCCCTGTGCACGATGGCACGCCAAAGGTGTCCTGCGACAAACAAATGAAAGCATCCCGGGCTTGAAGGGGTATAAAAGAGGTGGCGCTAATTGGTCAATCCTGACATCCGATCCAAGCGAGCTCACTTTGCCCGTGTTGCGTCCGGGTCTGCGTTCCGGCCTGCAGCCGTCCTCTCTCCAGGCTCCCTCCCCGTTCCTCTCGGCGCCCTCTCCTTGCTGCGACAGGGACTCGGACTCTGAGTGGACCACAGACATAGTCTCAGAGCCCTGGTTGAGAGGGGAAGAAGAACGAGAGGGAGACTCCAGGAACCGGCGGATGGTGGGATGGTTCAAAACAGCAGGGTCACTCTTGGAGGCATGCTGCGACACAGAGAAAATGTTATCTGCTGCAGCAGTATCATCAGATTTGTTTGTTTTTTAGATGCCCGTGTCCTCTGATGTGGCATCATACCTCAGGAAGCTTTGTCAGTCCAGCGTTGGCATAGTAATTGGCCACTATGCATGCCCGCAGTTTGTCCATCATCCTTCTGGCTTCATTTAAACGCTGCAATGAAAAAAAAACAGTTCATATATACAACTTGTCTTACCATAAACATACAAAAATGAAAAATAAATGAGTGGCACGTTGCATAAAACCTGTATGTTATGTTCTCCACATACCTGACTTATCACATCTATTTCATGCTCCTTGTTCTTCATTTCCAGAGAAAACTGCTCCCTGATTATGGTTTCAATCTTCTGTATCGCTGCCTCGCGAGCTGACGAAATGTCAAAAGATAGGAAGCGTTCATAAAAGATCATTGTCACCTTTAAGTTTGAACCAAAACACTGCAGAGCAGATTCCAGTCAGGTGCGGGGCACCGTAATACCTTACCATTGTGTTCAGCCGTCTTGTTTCTCTTGTTATTTTGAACCAGTGAAATGTTTTCATAGTCTGGGTCATTGTCTTCTATTTTTCTTTTAATTCCTGACATGGTTACCTGAAAAAAAGGAGTAAAGAAAGAAAGAAAGAAAAAGAAAACATTAATGTTTTCTACATACTGTTAACGTTAGCCTGCCTCTTCCAGGCAGTCTGAGTTAGCTGTGTAGCATAGAAGTTGTGAGCCACCGTCAGCTGTAATGCACGAAGCTAACTTTAGCACCGACGAGCTAGCAAAGGTAGCAAAGCAGTCTTCCTCTAAGAACAGTGGGGTTTTATTTTTAGTCAGTTTATTTTAAACAGAAGCTGACGTAAACAATACGTATTAAAGGTGGTTGTACTGTACCGCACCAACGCTGTTCTGGGTCAGTCCGAGGCTGTCGTTTGCGCAGCCGGCAGCACTGTCACGTTAGCTAGCGTTAGCCTTGTTTGCTAACTCGGCTAACATCAGCACACCTTTGCAGACACGACTGAGAAGAAGTGAAACGCCGACTTTCTGAAGCACCCTCTGCTGTGGGACAACGCCTCCTTGAAACATAAATGTTTAACTCACTTTGAGCATATTCTGTATTTGTCCAGCTCTTGTGTTTCAGAGATTGCTAATTCTCAAGCTGGTCATACAGGCTAACTAAATAGTGGCCAGTAAGCCTCGCGGTGACGGTTCAGCCGAACGGCCGCTTGGTCTCGCTGTCGCACAAAACAGATTGTATCCTTTTGGGAAACTAAGAAAGATTGAATAAATATGTTTATAATATATGTTATATGTTTAAACGGGAAATAGAAGGGATATCGGCATCAGAAATGTAAGGACAAGTAATAACGCAAGCAGACAGAGAAACGGTTTATAGAAACGATTTTTTTTAGTAGATAGACATTATATCAAGAAGATTTCGTCATTTTAGTAAATGGAAACGCTTCACTCAAATGTGGCCAACTGACAAAATACACAACTCCTTTGGTAGGAATCCTGAAGACAAGAAAAAAGATGCTGAAGAGCAGTTATAGCACGTGTATATACACTGTTCCCCAATTACTGAACAAATGGATTAAAGATCTATGTTTATTTTCATGAGACTTTATTATTGAACTCAGAGGTAAATAACATAGAACTGAACATGTTTTAAGATGCCCTTCTAGTCATTTCAGCTGCATAACCTACTATTTTAAGTTATTCTTCTGCAAATTAGACAGCCAGATTTAACATGGATGGATATTTATAATGAGCAGTTATAGTACAGAGACAGGCTAGAATAATAGAATAATACCTGCTTTTCTATAAGTACGCAGTTAATAATGATCTCTTAGTGGAATGAATGCTACCAAAACATCTCTACCAGGTGTATAAATCATGACACAAAACTTGTCTTTCAGTGCAACATAGTAAGTACTGTATTTGTTTCAGATTATAATTGATTGTATTTACCTTTCAAGATTAATGGTGTTGACACATCTCAGAATTCACTGGAGCCAATAAAAGGTAAGTGCACTGAGTCTCTGATGAGCACATTTTAGATTATCTGTAATGGGATCTGCTCCATGTGCCTCACCACTGAGTCATTTCCAGTTCTTTAGTCTTTTATTCTGTGGAAGTCAGGAAACCCTTTGGGGTTGGAATTCATTTACTTCAAAGACATCACTTCCTTGTTTTTTGTTTTTTTCATGGTGTAAGAATTTTAAGGGCATTCATTACAGCAGATACATGGTGAATCTTTCCATAAAACGTTGGTTTGTGTCTGTCAGACGAAAGTTGTTTTGATTAAATGGAACAATGATATGTAGCGTAGCGTGCAAGTCAAAGAAGACACCAACAACGCCTTGTGTTTATGGTTATTTGAGTTGCTCAATCTTGCTTGAAATAGATTATTTGGTTTGGTGCTGTTGCATGTGCCCAACACAATGGCTCATTGAAACCTCACCAAGTTGATTGATTGATCCCTTAATGAACTGAAAACATAAGATGACATGAAGACAGATGCCACAGGGTGCAAAGTACTTTTTGGTTATCTAATGAATCTGTGGGAAAGGCTCCAGGCCCCCCACAACTCCACTGGGAATAAGCGGTACAGATAATGAGTGGATATTGAATCTGTGGCATTTCATCTTGCAAGTTACAGTACATCTGATGTGGGTTCAGTAAGTTTGCGCACATACATTCTTTATTGTTTGTCATCGCTATAGTACATCTGATGAGACATATCTACTGTACCAGTACTTTAGATGAGTCAGTTTTATCTATTGTGTGAACCACAACGGCTGCTTTTTATCTGTCTTCTAATTAATTTTAATTTAACGTCTGGAGTTTTATATTGAAATTTGGCGCAAGACAGAACTGAACCATTAACAGTTAAAAGCAACACATCTTGCAATAAATGCCTCAAATCTGAGAATGTTGGCCATCTTCTTTTGAATGTCTTACAGTTCAGATGTGGTGTGTTTGTTATTTTTCTGATTGCATCCTTAAACCATTGTTGACAGCTGAACACTGATACAGAAAGAAAAACTTTATTGATTTTCCTCATACAAAAGTCATCCATTACATTTCAACATACTGCAGTTTTCCATAAATCCAAAGATTTTTGCATAGATTAACAAAGAGCATTGAAGGGGAAAGAGATGTTACACAAATACACCATACACATGATATAGATTTATATGAAAAGGGCCTCCTTTATTTGCAAATTTCTTCTTATTTTCTCTTTTTTAAGGAAAACAAAACGGCAGTTAACAGGTTAAAGAATATAACCTTGTTTTTTTTAACCCTATAGAGCCTGATCTACAAAAAAATAAATATTTTTTGTTGTTGTTTGAAGTCTCTACTTGGCCCATTAACAAAATATGAAAAAATAAATCATTTTTGAATATTCATCATTTATTACTGTGTAATAAGTCCAAATTATAGCCTTGTAGACTTCTGCCCACTGTTATAAAGTATATCTGATTGTGGACAACAGGGTTTTGAGCAATGTTTTTACCATTAAATGATACAAAATGTCTCAGATGCTAAACATTTCAGAAACTGTATGTATCAAATATGATGAATATGACATTATGGGATTAAAATGACCTTTGGGACATAATCATATCCACTTTGAATGATATCTACATTCATGTAACTGTTTTAACCTTTAGTTCTCTGCTTTTCCACATTATATTTGTTACATTCCATTTACATGTTTTGATTAAAATATCTCAGCAACACACAATCCCACAACTGAACACAACTGCCAGAAGAAAAGAAAAATAAAGCAAATGTGGAGAAACTGTGGACAGTCTTATCAAAAGAACACAATAAATGAAAGTCAATACATTGCCAATAATGGGAAAAAAAACGATAATCAGCATAAGAGGACAGTTTTTATGTCCCCTAGAGAGCAAATCAGTAAAATCACAGACACGCACACACTCTGAGTCCCCGTTTCTCACTAACTTTTTACTCCTTTTGTGTTACAACTTTCTTGCTCTTACTTCATCCTCCTGATGTTTTTCTGAAAGAAGCATGTGATGCCAGACCAGACTAGTCAACTAATCGGTCTAAAAAGCACCGGGCAGATGCCGTATGCCAAAATACCTCCACCTTTTCTGTGAAAAAGGAAACACAATCAGCGTTCTCTCCTGGTCCTGTTTTTCTAGGATGAGACAGGTTGGCAGGCTAGCGGCCAACAGGAGGAGCTGACAGGCCTTTTCTTCTGTCTCCGGTAGCTAAGAGCATTTACTGTTATAACGAAACAAGGAAATTGTAATCATGATTCTACATTTAACAGGACTCTGTCAAAGTGCATAATATGGGCTCTAAGTTACACAAATATTATGCAAGCTTAAAAAGATGCATTTACATACAAAAAGAAAACATATTAGTTATATTCACAGCTATTTTACTAATCTATCAAAACCAACTACTGTAAAAAACATTTTTAAAAAGTGATCTTACTGACCGTGAGCCACAGCATCTCATACTGCTGTCATTAAGAACCTTTAACTGCACTGTGTGAGGTATGGCAGTGGTGTGCACCTTTGCTGTAAACACCAGTAACACACATACAGACATACGCACCTGGAGGTATACGTGTTTACCCCGAGTTACAATGTTACATGTCCATGTTCAGGTGGAAGGTGCCAGCATCAGAAAAGGGTTCGACGAACAGGGGATCTTTAACTACAGCTCTTTGCTAAACCTGCTTGGCTCCAAGGCATTCAGACCATGTCATAACAGTCACATACAAACACACACACCACTTATTCAGAGCAGTCTTTGAGTTTGATCTACAAAGGCTTCTCACATTAAAAAAAAAACCCTCCACAAGCCCAACGGTACACCAATAAACAGACATCAAACCGACTGAAGCTTTGTAGAATACAACAACATCCAACTACAGAAATATACTGACAAAACAGAAAAATATAACTTAAAACCAATTTTTATGAAGAAACTTGCAAAAAAATATTTTCAATATAATAATAATGAAGAAAAAGGTATATTAGATCTTTTTTTAAAGTGAGGTGATGATTCAGGGAAGCGGAACCTTTGAGGAAAAGTGCCAACAACGGAGATGAGATAACGGTGACTATATTCCAATAATGTTCTACAGCCTTAGCTATTCAACTCTTCTCTTAAATTTCCATTAGTTTGACGGGTGAGATATAAATATGAGAACTGATAATGTGGAAGAGCAGCTGGCTGACTGCTCACCACATTTTCATCAGGTCATTGTAAGAATCAATGAGAGATGAAAATGATGCGAATGAGGGGGGCACTAAAGTGTCCTAAAGTATGGACATATTTGCAGAGGGATAGAAACCTGACCTGGCTGCTCATCTGTCTGACAAAACAGGTCTGTATGAATATCCAGGTGCCAGAGCAATCTTTGCTTTCAATGGTATTTTTTAGGTTGATGCTAATCACCGCAGTCCATAATCGCTTCATCTCTCTCCTCAATGAGGTCAGAGCAAGTTAGCTTTGCACAGTGTTGGGAAGTTGGTAACCTGTCATTAATTTATTTTTATCAGAAGCCATATCTCAATCATTAAAGTGATTACATAATTAGCCCAATAAATCACCACTGTGCAAAGAAACACATTTCTGTAGTTTGACTTTTCACTTTGGCCATTACAAAGGTAGTAAGGTCAGTCAACGTCACCAACAGGTTACCATTAGGCTAAACTGTAAAGTACTTACAGTCAAAGTATGCATTAAATTATGTTAATCAACAGGTTAGCGTGTTTTTCCTCAAGTAGTGCAGTCATATTTGCATTTTTTCCCATCATTGCGCTACACCAAACTCAAACATGATGAGCATTATTATCTAAAGAGCATTTACATAGATGGGTATTTACAGTAAAAAACAAAAAAAAAGTATTGACAGCAACACAGAATGCTGCTACATGACTACATGATGCAGTAAGGAGATATTTAAGCTCCCTGGTTCCTTTGACTAAAGTAGTATTGTGTCACATAAAAAAGAAATGTGTGTGTGCTAGTGTACAGAGTTTAGGTTCCTTAGTGTGTCCTCACATATGAAAGTCTGTGTCCATTCGTGTGTTTACAGTCATGGCTTAAAGTACTTGTCGTTGTAGCGGTGAATGGTTACGCAGCCATGGTAAGAGATGGGTCGCGGCATGGCCGCCACTCCTGTGATTATGCCTGTTCCCGGGTTGTAACACAAGATGGTGTCTGTGGCGTCCCCGTTTTCCTCCCGGCCACCAAGGATGAAGATCTTCCCGTTACACACTGACATGCCACAGCTCTCCTGCAAACCGACAAAGACACAAATTCAAGAGAGGCAGTGAAAGCGAGCTGAAGTCAATCACTGATCATTGCTTCTCATCCATTACCTGTTTGCTGAAGGTCTGAACAACGTGCATCCAGTAGTCCTCTGCAGGGTCGTAGCAGTAAACGGACTTGGTGAGACCGCCGCACACATAGATCAGGTTGTTGAGGGACACTGCTGTGATACAACGCTTGGCAATGGGGATGTTGGCCCGTAGTAACCACATGTTTGTCTCAGGATCATAGCACTGAACCTGTGATGGAGGGTTAAAGAGAGGGTTAAAAAGGAAATACAGCAACTATTTTTTCCCCCCAGTTCCCTGGAAAGAAGTCTGATGGTAATTTGAAGTGAGTGTATTTTGCTGTGTGGTTTGATGGGCAGTTCTGTGGGCTGACGTAGGCCTGTCTCCGACTACTTTGCATACATTCCAAGGATTCTCTAAACCACTTATATATTCTAAAATACCCCCTTCAGTTGTCTCACTGAATGTGCAAAACATGCCATTCAAGCAGCAAGGGGCATATTTTTCTGTGTTATCTGTAAGACTGTCGGAATGCTTTTTTTTCCTCCTTGCCAAGGAAGAAAATAACAGCAATTCCATGGAAGAGATTCTTTCTATGGAACTTAAGATTCCTTTGACAAGAAATAAGCATCTTATTACTGGCAGAGTGCCTATCTGTCATCTAAACTTGTGTCTACATTTCCAGGTTCCTCATACGTTTTAGATTGTAAGACGATAAACTGTTTAGACTTCCTATTCCGAAGAGCTCGAGTGACCTAATCGGGTGGGCGAGCAAGTATCTGTTTCTCACCTTGTCTGAACAGGTTTCATCGTCCGGTCCTCCTCCTATCACGAAAAGCTTGCCGGCACAGCTGGCCACAGCTGGAGAGCTGACTGCCTCTTTCATTGGAGCCACTTCCGTCCAGCGGTTTGAGAAGGAGTCGTAGCACTCCACACTACTCAGGCGGCTCTGGCCATCATAGCCACCAACAGCATAAACCTGAGGGCACACAAAAAGACAATGGCCACCTTTAAACATCTGATGGGCGCCTGAAACTTCTTACGTGCGTTTTTCATATGCAACGCAGACATGCAGAAAAACCAAATCATTAGGCATTGCTGTAAAACATTAGGAATTGAAGCTTAGTAGCTCATGACAGTAAAAAGCTTTGACATGAACACTCAAGTGAATAATTTAAGCTGAAGATAGATTACATGCTAACTGTGCACTATAGCTGTACACAGTGGTGGGCCGTCAGGGCCTTCAAGGCCTTCTCTGAAGGCCTAAGAAAATATCTGAATCACAGACTGATGTTAATTATATTTTGTCCATGAAAACTTAAATTAAATATCTCGAAATAGTCTGTCAGCTTCCTTTCATAGCTTTCCCCCTGGTTGCGCTGCTTCCAGACATGTATTTTCACATAAAAGCATTTAACCAATCACATTTCAGACATCCTCTGTCGCTAGGCAGGGTCAAAGTCAAAGATGGCTGCCAGGAGGCCTTCACAATCCGTTCTGCAGGCCCCCCCCCACAGAAAATACATGTCAAGTACATTGTTGCTTCAACCAATCAGATTTTAGGTTGGTGATGCCAGGGCCTGCGCGAAGGCCCCGGAAATGCCACCGTACCCACACCCGCTGATTGGATAGTCAGATATCCAATCAGGGCAAAGCTAGCAAACAAACCGAAATATAGTTGTGTTGGTGTAATAGCTATTTTATTATTTCGTGGCGGATTTACTGTCAAGACCATTTTCAAAACGGACTTTTCAAGAAAATTAAGTGAGTAAAATGTTTTTTTCCTAAATAATATTGCGAGTTTATGAGGATATTATTGATGTATTTTTATTTTTTTTTATTTTTTTTGGGGGGGGGGGTAGCTGCAGGAGTAGAAGACTTGTGCAGTCCTGATCTTTATACTGTATTTTAGGCTTGTCCTGATCCGATATTTGGATCGTATCGGCCGGCATGAGAAAATGCCAGATACATTTATTTTTAAAAGTCCGATCCCACCCGAGCATTAGCATTAGCATCTGTAACCCACAGGTCTGTGTAAACTTTAGTTGTTATAAATCCCTGTTCAACATGAGTCTCTCAACTAAGTAAGTAGAAAAAAAAAATCAATTTTAATACAAAAAGGTGGATCGGGACATCCCTACTGTATTTCTACATAAGAAGATGATTTCTATAACCATAAAATAGTTATTGAGGGGTGAATTGATTCAGACGGAGCACTACTGAAGGCCTAGGTGTGAAATGCACGGTCCGCCACTGGCTGTACATATATAAGACCTATAGTTCTTGCACATGTACACAGCACTGTGGATCTCTGAATATAGAAGTCCAACTGCTAACCTTGAAAGACACTTCCAAGTCTGAAGAATATCTAATTAAATCTTTACAGTACTTTGAGTCACTGCTTTCTAGACTAACCTCTGAGGTTTCTAATGACTTTCTGCAGCTACAACAGTACAAGGTTTAGCAGTGTGCTTTGGAATTATGCTTGATACAGGTACAGAAACGTTGCAACAGGTGGGAGGTTGCATAGGCCTGCATGTTGGGCTGATTAAAGGCTCCAGAGGTGTTTTGTGTTTTGCTTTGTGGCCATCATTCTCTGGAAAAAGATCACATGGCAAGAATACAAAGAGCGGCATGATAGGTGAAGGTATGCATCCACAAGTTGGTCTGGCTGTTCCTGTTTTTTTTTAGCAAAACAGGAAGCAAACATGTCAACAAAAGGAAGAAGACAAAGATAAAATATCCAAAAAAGCTTTAGGGAAGAAAAAAGCTACAGAAAAAGAACCATAGGAATATTTATCAATTATCAAGTGTTGATTGTTGTTTAGTTGTTGAAAGGGCTAACTCTAACCACCTAAGGGCTGTTTCACCCCTTAAATTTCAGAAGGATAAATGAATGTTATCAATACAGAGTCTCTTCCTGGGCCTAATCTCCTCACCGATTTTTTTGTGATCTTAGAATTGTTGGAAAATGTAGCATTTAGATATATTGTCTTCAACAATAGACCTTACAAAGGGAAATGGGTGGATGCTTCTAAAATCTGGGTAGACAACCCCTTTCATGCTCCCCTGACAATATCCAGACACAGCTCTGTTTAAAGAAGGGCGATTTTGTGTGTTGGGATAGGGAACACAGTCTCTCTCTTCTGTGCTTTGGTCACAGTAGCTGTGCTTCATGACACTGGATATATAATCAAGCTTAAGTCTATCAATACGGGTTCATTTTACATGAGCTTTAAGCAGGGGAAAAAACCATAATGAATGCTGACCTAATTGGATGTGGAGGATGCAATTAGGGACAACAATTAGGGACATGCTAACCACTGAACAAGTCTGCTCTCAAAAAGGCTTTTGTGAGTCCAGGGTAAAGCTATGAATATATGTGAATGATCAACTACTACTTAACAATGCAGGGAGGTGATACGTAGTGACCTCTAGAGTATCAGAGCCACATTATGACAGATGGAAAAAAGTTAATGAGGAAGGGTAAAATGAGGAGTGACCCCCTTTCAGCAGCTACGTGCACAGTGGAGCTAAGCTGGACTTGGACATTAAAATTCAACCACTGTCAATGGAACTGTTGAGTTATTGACCAAAGCATGTCCAAAGGAGTGTTTCTGTGGACTGTGCTGGAAAATGTCCTTAACATTCTTCTGCCTCTAACTTTCTCTGTGGGACATAATGATAACTGCAGAGCGACACTCTGGAAGACTTCAATAATGTGTTTGTGCAAATTGTCTGATTTTAATAAACTTTCTGATGCCTCATTGTCCATCTGACAAAGGGAAAACATATAGAGAAAAGCTGATTCCTTGGTAACTGTATTTGTACTGAAATCCTCAATATACATTTTCCAAAATACATATGAATTATAATATAACAATTGCAATATGAGCATAACATAAATACCATTGCGTGATCATTTTTCTCTGAATATGCAAATGAGTAAAAATGACAGAGTAACATAAATTCCAGTCAAATGTCTTTGCAGCACATCAAGAACATGCTTATGTGGCCATTAGAAAGGATTGTTTGCATTTCTCAGTCTTGTAATTCCAAACTTGTAAAAGGATCAACAGTGCTGTCCACCAAAAGGGAAAATTACAGACTGAATGAGGAAATTAGTAGGTACAGAATTTACGAGAGGGGAACTGAATTCTGTGGAAAAAACAGAGAGAAACATCCCCTCTGATGATAGTGACAGATTGTGATAAAACCCAGATACAATCTCAATTGAGAACGCAACAGAACTTATTCAAATGTCCTGCTTTGCAGGTCACATATAATAGATAATAAAAAGATCAAATTGCAGTCACGGAAAAATTACACACTAATGAGTTATTTACTGACTTTTACAGTTACTTTATGACCATCCAGCTGACTGCCAATGAACGCATGCTTTAGCTGCAGCAAACTAGCTGAGCATTTAGGGTGCTGCGTTCAAGTGACAGAAAAATTACAGACTGGTGACAAAGTAAGTTCCCAAAAATAAACTCAGATGTTCCTTATAAATGTGAGCTGCTGTCTAGGCACACCGAGCACCATTTTGGCAAATGGACAGAGCTGGTTCTTAAATTGGAAGTGTGAAATACTGGAATGAATCCAGTGAATTTCCACTGAGCTCAATCAAGCATGTTCACCTGCTCTGTAAGAACAAGTGCAAACAGCAACAGCCCAACAACAGCGATGGTTCAAGTATGGCACATCCTCTTACATTTAGACTTATTTCAAAACCTGGTCACCTACTCTGTTTTTAATCTAACAACTGGGTTCAAAATATAGGGTACTGACAGGTCTGGTATGAAAATACTATCATAGGTTTGATACTCAATTGCTGAGTTACTTTTAAATGCTAAGCATGCCATGAGTTAACCAGTGTTTAGATTCCAGGGAACTGGGTATCCTCCTGTGTACCTTTGCATCGTGCCTGTGCCGGCACCACAACATGAAACAACATCATGGAGTGTGACAGAAAGATATCTGATAGCATCAGTGTAAGCATTTCTTTGGAACCACTGACGTGTAACTGAGATCTAAAACTAGATGCTACTTATCAGAGGGTACAAATGAATTCTGGCTTTCTAAAGAAATTCTTTGAATGCTTCCATCTATCTTTCCATCCATCCATTTTCCACCGCTTATCCGGGGTCGGGTCGCAGGGGTAGCAGCCGAAGCAGGAAAACCCAGACATCCCTCTCCCCTGCCAGGTCCTCCGGGGGATCCCAAGGCGTTCTCAGGCCAGCCGGGAGACATAGTCCCTCCAGCGGAAACCGATAAATCGAGAGCATAGCTTTTAAGATGGTACAGGGCCAACATTAGTGGCGACTCTGCACCAGTCTGCCTTTCAATCTCCCGCTCCATTTTACCCCCATTTGCGAACAAGAACCTGAGGTACTTGAACTCCTCCACTTGGGGAAGGCCATCCCCCCTGACCCAGAGGAGGCACTCTACGCTTTTCTGGTGATAGACCATGGTCTCGGATTTGGAGGCACTGATCCTCATCCCAGCCGCGTCACACTCAGCTGTGAACTGCTTCAGTCAGAGCTGTAGCATAAATTTTGCATAAATCATCATAACGGGGTCTTTGGGCTGCGCTTTGTCTGATCCCTTGCTTAGGACCTATTTGCCCCAGGTGACCCGACCAGGGGCTTAAAGCCCTGGACAACATAACTCTTAGGATCATTAGGACACCCAAACCCCTCCAACACGATAAGGTGGCAACCAAGGGAGGGGAGGACAAGGTGGAGACAAGGAGGGGAGGACAAGGACAAGTTGAGGGTCTGGATTCATTTCTAATACTCCAAAGCCTTCTTAACTTTCTGTAAATTACCTCTGTAAATGCTATTATAGTTAAATAGAGCTATTCAAAATGTTTTACGGCAGCTTTCACATATCCACAACAGCCTTGAAATGCATATTATTATATCTTTTGTTTTGTATATTTCTAACTAATCAAAGCTGCATCGTGTTTATCATCATGGAATGTATCCTGTGTGTTTACTACTCCAGAGTATCTGTACAGTGCATTTTACACAGCAGACTCCCCCACTGTGACTGTGCAAAAAGTCAGCAACAAGTTATAAATCAGCTTTATGTTCTCTTTACCTTGCCCAGAAGGACACCCATCTTGTGTCTCCAGCGACCTTTGTTAAGTGAAGCCACTCTGATCCACAGGTTGAGCTGGGAGTTGTACATCCACACATCCCTGCTGTTGATACGACCACCTAAAAGACAGAAAAGGACTCAAAAAATGATGTTCTTCCTCTTTAGGACCCAATAAGTATGACAGGTCCCCACTGAGAAAGCCATAATAATATGAAGTCCAAGTCAATTAGTGTGTCCACAGTAAAGTTCAAAATCATACTGCCATTTAAAATAATTTGTAAAAATGGAGAAATGTTTTGAATGAGTTATCGTCACAATCTTACAATAATCAGATGACTCCTTAATCAACAACAGTGTTTTTGTACTTGATTTTGTACTTAGATAAAGTGTGAAGAAAAAAACTGAGAGACAAAGGAAGGTAGTTGCAGCATGTCTGCCTAATAATCTGTTATACAGTCAAAGAACCAGACAGTCTGCTTCCCTTAGGGCTTTGTTCATAAAAAAAACCCTGACAGAAACAAATCAATGGAGAGTGTCCAAATTATAGAGAAACACACTGCTACATACTGTAGTGTACAAGCTGTCAGTGTGCAGCTATGTTCAGTGTACTGTATGAGGCCTGTACATGTGATTACATGTTCACCAGGAGACATGCGTATCTGAGTGGCTGCATGTAGTTTGGAGTTATTGATCAAACTAAATCGGTGGGGGCAAGAGTTCCAGACACTGGAGAGACACCAAAGATGGTTTGTTTGCCCAGCTGAGCCATATGCTATTTAAAACCGCAACTAATTGTAGGCGCACTGGAGGCCCTCTAATGTGTTGAACTAGTTCCCAGTGGGGAAAAGGCCCTCAGACGGGTTGAAGCTAAATGTAAAGCAGTCACAGCTTGGTGACATTAAATGTTCTAGACATGTGAAATTGAACCAAAAAAAAAAATGTAACAAGGCTGAAGATATGATACAAAGTTGCACTGCTGGCACTCTATGTGACTGAGGCAGAAAGCTGTGGGGGAAGGGTGTGTTTTCAGGCAGCATGAGGGTAGATTGATAGCTCACACGTGAGGAGTTGGCACATTGAGTAAACTCTGTACACTGTACACCCCTTGCAAATGTATGCTATCTCCTTTGCCATTTATTTTGTATGTTTTTTGTCATTTAGTTGTTCCGGTTCAACGTCAGGTTCAGCTTCACCCCAATCACACATGTTAGAACGCCTGTTCTTGCATTTCCTTGGAAATAAAAAAAGAGAATATATCTATGACAGAACTGGGTGTTTGTCAGTCCTATAAACTTGAGCCGAATCTTTGTGCATGAACAACACATTCTTCGATTTTGGCTACAAGCCCTCGCCTGATCTCATTTATTAAAATGAATGAGGTAATAATCTAGGTCTCCTTTTGCTCTGTTTAACCATGTTTAACCCACAATGACTTAGTCCCCTCTTTAGGACACAGTTAATTACAGAAATACAAAAGCCTGATTTAGGAGGTGGTAAGAGCAACACCATTTCAAATTCAGATTTATTTTCAAATCAATGTGAAGGAGATTACCCTAATGTTTGGCCAAAAAGGAGGAGGGAGAGTTGGACCAGGCTGGCTGTCTTGCAGCACTGAGCTTAAGAGAGTGCATCCAGATGTTGCTCTCATATTTTCCTTCGACTCAAACTGGCTCCGGTAGTAAAAATAACATAGGGCTCAGAGTCAACACAGCCACTCTCAACACTTCATAGGCATATTAGCTGGCTAGTCAGGTTAAACCTGATCATGTCACACAAAGAGTGCACTAATTTAAGTCTTTTTTTCCTGACAATGACACAAAATGGTAAAATAAAATCTGGACTTTAAGACAGTCAAATAAATGGCTGTCCAAGTAACACAAAGGGTTTATTATGACTGATTACACTTGCTCAAAATCCCATGCTGTAAGGTCATTTAAATTATACTGAAATTTAACTAGCCACATCTGTGTTAAGGATTTCAGTTTAACCTACAGGTAAACCATCCTTATTAAACCTATTTGGCAAGTCATTTCAAAACATTATCTGGCAACCTTAAAGAAACCTTTTCTGATGTTAACTTGGTTAGCTTGTGATTACTTAGAGCATGGAAAGCATCATGCTACTAAACAGTTAGTAAATGCATTCGGATCTCACCTGACACCAGGATGTCATTGCGCAGGGCACAGACGGCATACTCTGACTTGGTGAACTCTGGGAGTTTTGCCAGTGATTTCCATTCTCCTGTGACTGGATCGTAGCATTCAGTGTAGGGCAGGTTGAAGCCCCCTACCCGCTCACATCCACCCACCACCACAATGACCTCAGAGTAGCCAGTTGACCTGTAAACAAGAGAAAGTGGATGCCCATATAGACAGTCAAAAATGGAAATTGTAAAAAGGGGGAATAATAACACTGCTGAAATTACAATGAATACAAACACAAGGCAAACCTTTCCAAAGTCAAAGGTCTTTCAAAGAAATTATTAAACTTGAGAAGCCTGTCGGTCCATACCACTGAGCATATTACTATTGGTTTTCTGATTCCAGGAGATAGAAATTTGTACTATCGTGATGCATTTCCTCTGGAAAAACTAAATTTAACTTCAAGGAAAAGTTCAATTTAGAATAAAGATTATCAGTGCTAGGTAGAACTAAACAAACCCTTTTAGCTGAATTTACGTGCTGTTAAAAGCATGCCCTGGAAATGACAGCATTTCCTGTTGTGGGGTTAGGGTGGGGGCCATGGCTCTAACATAATACTAATGTTACTTTGTAGAAGCTAATATGCATCACTGCACAATCTCATCTTTTTCTGTTTAGTTAACATGTCTAATACAAACCAAGGTTTAGGGTTGCTTTAGGTACTTGTGTACCTGAAGCAACCTCTCTCCAACAAAAGAAGAAAGGCCCTGGTGTGGATATGAAAGGGGAAGTCCGCCTGCTGTTTTTTAATAACTATTTGGCCCTCAGGGCAAACGAAGCAGACCAACCACCTGTTGGTGTGCGGATGTTCACAGATATACCCAAATAAGTACAATACACTTGAAATACGTGTCACACAACTTGATAACTGACATCTGGTGCTGTACCTACTTTAACTATTTCAGTAGCCAAAACAACAAAAGCAGCCTGTGGAGCTTTGTTTTTCAGCAATCTACCATATGGCATGTTATTGTGCTTCACTCATGACCTTTCAGTAAGCACTGAAAGAAAGGTCTTTATTCAAAAAAGAAAAAGAAAAAAAAAGGTTTTTAATGTCTAACCCGCGAAAAAACCATCAAAAGGTGAGGCTGTTTGATAAATAGGTGTAAGGTTAACAGGTGGAGACATAAGGTACCCACACACATCCACTGGGTGAGTTACACAAAGGTATGACAACAAGACTTGACATTTCACATGACTGCCATTTCATCACATCTTTTTTTTTTAAATGTTTTAAAGCAGCCTGTGTTCAAACATGCCCGTCTCCCTCTATCATTTCCATTTGGAAAAAAAAATAATGAAAAAAAGGCTTTGTCAATAACACAGTTGTCTCTTTAGCACACAAACACTCCCTGACTCTTTCACATGCACATATAACAACACAGCCAGAGGCGCAGAGTCCATTAGCAAGTAGCAACCCTCAAGCTATACGATGTCAGACTGAGTTACTGCTCCACCACAGAGGGAATAATATTGTGATTTTACAAAAGGAGAAGACCGAGGACGTCATCTTCCTAAAATTAAAGATTATTAGTTAATCATTGAAAAGAGAGCAGTGAATATGTAACCTAATAAGTAATAAAGCACCACACTACCTTCTTCATACCAGGGAGGCCTACATTGTTATTACCTGCGTGGACAAGTTCTCGGTGACATCATTTCATTTCCCAGCACGTGGTAGCGCCTGGCCTCGTGGAGAAGATGGTAGCATTCTGGGGCATTCTGGATGAGTTGGTCTCCTTCCACCGTCTGCACGAAGTAGTTGGGGTGGAGCAGGGGTAGGCGGACATGGAGCAGCAAAGCCTTCAGCATGGGCCTCCTGCTGTCCACAAGGTGGTAGATCCAGCGCATGACGGCCTCAAACACCACCTCCTCCTTACCAACAGACAGCTCGTCGCTGCTAATGTACTCTTCCAGCTCCTCTTTACGCAGGTCAAGGAACTCCTCGTGCTGAGAGACCTCTGTGAAGTTGGCCAGGCCGTAGCTGCGGCAGCGGCTGGCCAGCTGCTTCAGAGAGTGGGCATCTGCAAAGCGCTGGATGCCCAGGCAATTGCAGGGGTCCAGCTGGTCTTCGAGGAACTTTGCACAAGCGTCGCGCAGTGTGGTGATTTGGAAAAGGCTTGAAGTCTCGAAAAGGAACTGGACATTCTCTGTGGTGATCTTGGCGCGGCCAGTGTAAACGTAGTTGAGGAAGGACTCCATGGCCTCAGCCAGAATGCCGTTGATCTCAACCAGCATTTCACGGCTCTCGCGGTGGTCGTTGCAGAACATGGCTCTGAAGTAAGAGGAGCAGGCTGAGAGAACAGCCCGGTGACAGGGGAACTCGCGGCCTTGTACACAGATGACGACATCGGTGAAAAGCCGGCTGTCACGAAACTCATTCAACACCTGCAAGATGCCCTCTAAATGCGACGAGCCAGAGCTGAAGTCCAGAACATCCGGACTACCTAACGTTTTGGAGTCAAACACCTTTAGGATAAACGACATGCATAGAGATGAGTTACAATTGTGGCGTCAATGAGAAATACTTAATTCAGAACAGAAAACAAAGAAAATGCAGGTATGGCAGCACCTTGCGTTTGACAGCTGGTGAGTCTCCGTTTCCAGTGTGCTCCCTGGTCATTCTCCTGCCAAGAATCAACACCATGGCTGCCACCTTTGATTGGAACTCTCTCAAAGTTTAAGATGATCTAATAATGAAGAAAGGAAAGGAAGCATTATGAAAGAAAATCTTACAACACAATATTCAAATTTGCCACTATCATATTTACTATTTCCTTAGATAACATGTGGCCTACACTGGAGAATGAAAAGCATTGGACACATATATTGCAAACAACTCTATGAATGCTGTGCAGCTAAGAAAGTCCCCCACATACCATGAGAAAAGAATACTAACAATGAACTGCGCAGTACACAAATTAGGGGAGAGTGAGTTACACAAACAAACTGCCTAAACTGACAGGGAAGTAATGAAAACGTTTTACATAACAGTTGAATAAAATATCTTTGAGGATTTCAATCTGAGCTGCATTTAAAGCTGTGTGGCATTTCCTCTTGTTAGCACAACACTGCTGCAAAACAGTTGTGCCCTGCAGCACAATAGATTGCATGAGAGGAAGGATGACAAAGAGCAACAAGGGCAGGAGAAAAAAAGGTTGAGCAACGGTTGGAGCGCCAACCTACATGTCAGTCAGGTTTGTTTTGAAGAAGAGTGTGGGCAGGGACGTCATAATAAGTGTTTGGACAATTGTAAAGTCGACACCACTGATAACATTGAGTCATATTTCTTGTTTTGTTGGACCAGTCCTCTCTAGACTGTCACTTTAAGAGAAACTCCACATGATAAAAAGCTATTTATAACACCTCTATAACTTTTGAAGCGAAATAGTTAGCCTTTGAGAATAGTGCTTTTTAAAAAAAAGTTGGCTACAAGTCTGACCTATGCTCCTGTGAGGTCATTTTTCTTATCTATCTATGATCTATTTTTAACCTGCAAGAATGAGGTCATTCAGTGCTTAATTAGCCATCAGAAGCAGCTGCCAGTACAGCAATTAAGGAGATTTAGTTAGAAGTGTCTGACGCAGATCTACATTTAGTCTGTTATTGAAGGTGGAAAAAACAAGATGGTTAGCTAAAAACATTTAGTACCAATTATAATTCTAAAAGTTGTTTATGTTTTATCTGTACTATGCTTCCAGTTTTCCAGTAATAAAAGAAAACAAAAAATTTTTTTTAGATTAAAATAAATAACAAAACATTAATAAAAACAACAAAAGCAATATCCACAAAAGACAAAATTGTCGTTTGTTATGCTAATGACAAAAAAAACTTAAATGTTTTAACGTTCACGAGGACATCAACAGGTTGGCGGCACGCGCGTTCGCTTCGTTAGACAAAGCAAATTCGTCTCGTGCCAAAGACGTTTAAGGCTTTGGTCATGACGACCGTTAGCGGACCAAAGATTTTAGGCTTTTGTCAAAGTTAAGGTTATAGGAAGGAAAGAAAAATAGACAAAAATACTGGTTGTTCCAAAGTTATAAAGAAAAATATTTACCTTTCGCAGAAATTTCCAGATGTGGCTTCGTCTTCTATAACAAGTGAAGGGGAAGAAAACAGCTGACAAAAACAAATCTGTGACCTAAAAAAGTTCAACACTGTCTTGCAAAATGTTCTCGCCCAAATATTTCTGAAAGCTAGAGACTTTGACAAAACGTTAAGCTGCTACACAACCAAAACATTTTGACGTCCAGTTTTCACTAAAACAAAGACTTTCAACAGGCTAACTTTGTTGTAAACACGGACCACATATAAATACTTGTCAGGGGGTGGGGGGTGGAGGGGTGGAGGGGTGGGTGGGGAGAAATGCCCCGCACAGCTGCCTTAGCTGCCTTATGGGTAACGTAGTCATTCATGTTCCAGTTGGGAGAGACTCTTCTCGGAAAAAAACAGCACTTCCCAGAGGTCAGTAGTTCTCCACGTGGCTTCCCTTTGTTTGCAAACAAACGGTATTTTCAGTGGAGAAAAAAAGAGGTGGAGGAAAAACTCAGAAAATAACAACTTTACACTGATGCTTGTATGAACTTTTGGAGTGCAGTTTGTATCATACCATCACATGGAAGTTGTTACCCAGTGGCATTATATGACAACTTGGTACCTGAACTAATTATATATGTTTTCGTTTTTAAGGGTGGGTCTAGTTATGTTGTATAAAGATACATATATATATATATATAACATGTAAATGGGTAAACATAAACGTGTATGTCATAGCTCAGTAATGTGGAATCGTGGACACGTGAGTACAGCCTAAAGCATAGTGTGCACCAGTTTTTTAGGTGAAGAGGAAGGAGGAGCTATAGGGACAAAGGATGTCACAACTTCCTTGAGGTGTTGCAATATCTGGACTTAGTTTATTTCCTTGGAAGGTTGATGATGTCATCTAGAACCAAGTTTTAGACAATGGGTTACTGCTACAGGGAAACGTTTTTTCTCTGTAAACATTTCAACCCACTTACGATATACGTTTAAGGAAGCTTTAGAATCTGTACACATCCATATTTGTGATGAGATCAACAAGAAAGGTAATGGTCAAACGGCCCATTGAATGGTCAAATGACAACTTGAAGATACAGATGGGAAACACCATATATCTTCATATAAGTTAGCAAGTCATTAACCGCAATGAAAATACACAAAAAGCAGGCATGATGAATGTCTGCTTTGGGCCAACCTGCTGGTCGGGTTGCAGCAGGTTTCTGGTCGGGTTGGCTGTAAGCAACGCAGTATAAGGCCCAGAAAACATTTAGCTAAGTTCAGTGACTGTAAAAAAACAAAACAACAGAAAAATCTGCAGTTTTGTTGTATGATTAGGAGTTTCTTGCTCAAGTGGCATGGCAATTTATTTTAAAAGTGGCCAACAGTAATATGTTTAATGTCTCTCTCCGATGCACATGAGGATAAGCAAGGCTGACAGAGAGCTGATAAATTGAGCATAGCCCATGTGCAGGAAACCAGCCACGTGCTGTCGGGCCCTGCCAACACTCCTTTAGCCTACTTCTTGGAGCACAGTGGAAAGGGAAATGTGTCCCTCTGCTGTTGGGCTGTTGTAACAGTCACAAACTGTCAAAAACAAGCGTGGGCTTTCTGACTTTCCCCCGTCCCTCACTCTTCCCTACGGCAAACACATCACATTTCAGCATGACAAAGCTTTGCGGGGAATTAGAATGGCACGCTTTGCTCATCATTTTGAGGAAAATAGAATGTTGAAATCAAAAAGTGAGCAATCAGATGCGTTGGCTCTGTGGTTGGGGTGGATCTGAGTTAGTTGTGGTTAAGGGTGGATCTGAGTTAGTTGTGGTCGTAGGAGAGAGGAGGACACTGGACAAAGTGCTGGTCATTGCTGATGAGCTCAGCCACACTCTGCACACCACATCTCAGCACTTTGCTTCACAGCAGGCAGTTGTTACTGAACTGCTTCACAGACAGGCTCAGAAATGCCTTCCCATCCACAGATATTTGACTGTATAAGAACACATTGGTGAGGGGTGAATGGAGGGGAATAAAGCAGGACAATCTGTGGTATTATTTTAAAAAAAGGTATTAAATATAAAACAATCAGCTGTGAAAATGTCTTTTAAATGTTCCAAAATGACTACACGCCTAAATATTACCCTGAGAAAGACAGAATGGAAACAATATCAACATAAGAGGTTCAATGATAGACTGGGCATATTGCATTTATTCAAATCTAGTCAGATGTATCTGTATAACACCTAAAAAACAACAGAAGTGCTTCACAGTCAATACATATTCAGCACAAATTACATCACAAGGTAGTAGGAGATGGTACAATATGGTAAAATATATATAAAAAACCTATAAAAACACAAACAATTGAGGTACATTTATATCATATTGTCTATAATAATAAAAGTGATCAACATTTATCTCTGTTCATGCTAAAAGCAAAGAGAATAGGTTAAACACAGAAACATGATTTAAAATTTCTACAGTGTGTGTGCACATGGAAAGGTCAACTGTCCCACAAACCTGCCACTGAAAAACTGGATCATGTGAGATTCGGTCACCCTCCATAAGGCCGAGAACTGCACTTGCAATGCATCACAGTAGTCCAAGTCAGCTGATGATGTATGAATTTATTTCTTCCTGGTGTTAGGGGGGAGGCTTCTCATTGATTATCACTTGTGCAGAGCAACAACACGGAGCCAAAGACCCATGAGTGCCTGTGGAAACAAAATGATTTGATCTTCTGAGCCAAATAACCGTAGGCCTGTTCTAATTCAGAACGCAAAAGGAAAAAAAAAGGAAACTTCTTAACACGTGACAGATGGACAGAGTTGTCAGAAGGACTGTAACGCAGAGGATGAAGCTTCTAAAAGGTTGGGGGTTTTCACAAGCTGGGTAGATGCTTATGTTCTGCTTCCAGACACAAACTCCATGTGACAGTTTGGTCCTCTTTACATCCGTTGAGGAGTATGGAACATCTCTGAAGATGGACATTTGAAACTGGAATAATATTACGGTGGTCACACTAACAACTAAGCAGAACTCAACCACTTGTGACCAAGAGAATTAAATGCTTGTTATCAGCTTCACACTTCTATCTACGTTTTACCGCATGTAAGCACACGTTGAGAATACCACAGAAGAACTAGGCATGTTCGAGATCTGCTGGAGAATTTCCCTCAGGATTGCTTAGGTGACGTAGCTGAGTGTCCTGTGGCGGTGCAGCAGCAGCGTCAGAGTGTCTGCGATCTCCCTGTACCTCAGGCCGTACAGGTAAGGGGCCAGCGCCCGGGGCAGCAGCATCAGGAAGCAGTTATTGACCGTGCTGACCCACACGTGAATGTCTTGACTCATCCTTTGGCTTTGGAACATGTAGAGTTCCAGGGTGAAAACGAAGCCGGGCGCAAAGTAGAGCAGGAGCAGGACCCCGTGGGCCAGCAGCGTGACCCGGGCCCTGGAGCAGCGGCTGTGCCAGATCCCCTGCGTCCTGGTCACCATGTAGAGCCGGACGTAGCAGTAAGAAATGAGCGAGGCGCAGATCAGCGCCGCCACGAAGAAGAAGGTGTGGATCCCGCCCTTGTTGAGGGACAGGTGGGCCAGACAGAGCACCACCTTTTCGAGAGGGATCCCTCCGCTCTCCCTCCTCTTGATGAGCAGGGCGAAGGGGTAGAGGGCGGCCAGCGCCCACACCGTCCCCACGATGCAGTGGGTCCGGCGAGGCGTGAGGAGGTCGTGGTAGCGGAGGGGCCAGCGGACGGCCGTGAAGGTGTCCACCACCATGAGGGTGACGGTGAGGATGGCGCAGCAGTAGGAGGTGACCAGGACGGCCGTGGACAGCTCGCAGACCACCCAGGGGATGCGGCCTCCCGCGGTGTTCCCGACCATGGTGGCCAGGTTCGTCACGAGGAAGAGCAGGTCCGCCGCCAGGGTGTTGGCCACCAGCAGGTAGCGGGTCTCCTGACGCAGGGAGCGGGACAGGAATATGCACACCAGCAGAACGGGGTTGGCCAGAAAGGTGGCCAGAGTGATGACCGCAGCGGGGATGCAAAACAATTCCAGGTGCCATTTCCTCACACTGTCATGCCACTCCTGCGTGAGGTTTGAAATGACCAGAGACGATAGCGACATGGTGTTGCCGGGTCAGCGGAGACACGCCAGACGGCAGTTTAATTGTGTGTTCTCTTACTTCCTCCAGCAACACCCTGTAAAAGGGGAAAAAAACAAACAGCGGGAATGTCTGCAAACTGTTTGAACCATGAAAATGTGGGTTTCAAACATTTACACAAGACTTTAATTCTTTTTAATCTGAGATGTTGTAATTAGATTGAACAGCGACGGCAAAAGTCGATAGGACAGGTAAATTCCTGACCAAACCATTGATAAATTCAGCATTCACAGACGGCTTTGGCTGGCTGTGTGACTGGTGACTGTGACTGACCCATCCGTAGAGCGTCATTGAAATAACCAATTACCTTGTAGACAGAATCTAAATATGAACCGCGTACCTAGTACGTCTACAGTCGAGGCCAATGCAGTTTCAGAATGACTTTGAACCTACAGAACATAGAGAAAAAGTAACTGTTTTTGTGAAAGTTCTAAATCCAGCCGGGCATTAGGTTTACACGCTCACTTTAGATGGAAAAAACAAACAGAGCAGACAACATGTAAATGCCACCACCTCCCCAAATGATTACAAATACATCTTACAGTACTTTACAGTACCGATTCTGTTCAAAAGTTGACGCTTAAACATCAACTGAAAAAAAATATTGATCGCCTTAAGAGGATTTTCCTTACCTTCTGTCCAAATTGGAAAAAGCTGCCTGGGCTGCGTAAATCGATGGCTGCTGGGTGGCTTTTCTCACTCGCAGACCTTATCTGACGTACTCTTTGTTGACCGAGAGATAACAAGAGAGCTGCGGCCACTTGGCTGTCACATAGAAACAGGGTGGAGCTTTTGATCCATTTAGGAGCTGCACACCACTGTTTGCTTTCCCCGTGTTTTCTGCTTTAGCTTTCACATCCGAACGGGTTTCAGAAAGCAGGCCCGATCCAATCAGGGTCGATAAGAGTTGAAATCAAAAGTTGCTTGAAACTGGCGTCATCATCCCTCACGTCCGGCTGTCGAAACTTAAACATAGAGACGATCTTTAGAGTTAATTCACTTCAAGAGAAAAGACCACGTGAAGTTAGACACCAGGATTTCATGTGTTATTTTCTTTAGCGTTTGTCAGCAAACATTTTATTGATTCTATGACATGTGTCATCTATTTTCACTTCTAAGGAAGTGATTTTTCTCTCAGATCACAGTTTTTTTTTCTTTTTCCGCTTCATGTATCCACTTTTTCCTTCCGCTTCCTCTCCTTCCTCCGCTTCATCATCGTCATCATAAACATCATCATCATCAATATCCGCCTCAATCCTGCCCTGCTGCAACTCCTCTTCTTTCCACTCTCTCGCCAAGAGTTCCCGAAACACGTTGTACTCCTCCACTGACGCTTGGGCAACTTGTGACACGAAGGTGTCCTGGTCAGCGCTGAGGATGCTGTCCAGTTTGGGGTTTATGATGCTGGTCTGTCCCTTCTTATCCGGGGTCTGGTACAGGCCCCGCCGCTCAAGGAAGCTGTGGCGACAACGCACCTCATCCAGGTGGAAACGGAACAGGCGGCTCTTCACCATCTCCGCCTGCTTGATGCCCATTCGAAAGTACACGTACTGCGGAGAGATGGGTCAGTCAACGCTGTTACAGACAAGCCTGCGAAATAGCACGTGGCATAATACTGACGTACGCCTTAAAAAGCTGCCAGAATGGGACTTCTTCCATTATTAATTGCCATTATTAATGAAAAAAGCACAAAAGCAGACATTAACTATGTTTTTTAACAAATAAAGAAGGTGGTCATTGCCTAAGAAAGCAATGAATGCCATTCATAACCCCATTCTCCCACAGATGGGGATAAAAAATATCACATGCCGACATTTTTTACGGATATAGGAAACAGCCCGAGGCTGTAAACTTTTACAACTGCAGCACGCCTGGCCTTTTTGTTTATTCATATTTTGAGGAAGTCAATAAATGATAATTTATGTACTGTGTGGCAAAATATCTGTGATAGTCCTTAATGTCATGGTCAAGCTTGGAAAGTTCAGTTAGGTGACTGGATGGGAAGGTTTCTAAAAAACGTTTCCCCGCTCACCCAAGAGGCTTCATCTGTTCTAGAACCGATGTAGCTTCTTGGATGAACATGACAAATAGTTTTCTCTTTAAACTTACAGGAATGTGTTTAAGTTTCTGATTTAACGTTTATGGCTTGGTGGGTGTGCATTTGGAATGCTCCTCACAACCTGTCCAAATGCTAACATCAAGGTTCTGTCAGACTTTTGGTCTTTAAGACAGAAAAACTGTCCCATCTCACTTTATGGCTAACCTGAAACTTGTACTCCAGCTGATCCTGGTCCTCCAGGACCACAGCAGGACTATCTCTGAGGATGTCTGTGATCTGCTGCGTGGTGAACAGGCACTTTTCTCTGAGGAACACAGCCACGCTTTTAACCGACTTGGCTGGCACGGTCAGGATCTTTGGGTAGTGGGCCACCGTCCTCTGAAGACTGCCTGTGAGTGAGACGAGGGAAAATTTGGGTTCGACACAGCCAGAAGACTCAGACTACTCTCAATCAAAGCTGATACAATGGTCCTACCTTCAAGTAAACCGAGCTTCCTCAGGTTACTGATGCGCTGTTGAAGCTGCGTGTCTTTAACAGAGTAAAGCTCTGGACACTTGACCAGCAGTTTTAACACACTAGAGGGGTTGAGTCCCAGGACGAACAGAACCGTGAGAGTGGACAAAACGTGCTTGGCACCACCTCCTCTGAGACTGGACACGGTCTCAAATATCTGCCCTGCCTGGCAGTCTGTGAATCCCATATCAGTTAGTGACCGCAGGGACAGGTCACGGACCGGTCCTCCGGGAACAGGACTAGTCTCATGGGGGTGCTGAGGTGCCTGTGAAGTAGTCTGACGGCCCGACGAACAGAACCATCTGCAGCCGCACACAGACGACAAACGGTGTCTCCTAAACTGGAGAGGACTGGATACAGGGGAGTGCGTATTTCTCAAAGCCAAGAGAAGAATCTGTGAAAATAAACGACATTGTGTCCTCTTAAGACAGAAGTAAGCAGTGGGCATAATAAACTTAGTGTGGAAGTAATTTAAGCTTAGCTTAAGTTACCAAACACGAAGGTTATTAGCAAATACTAGCTCTGAGGCTGTTGGGAATTTGTCTGAGGTATTTTATCGTAACTTGTTTTAAAAGGCTAATTCATTCGGGTTTACAATTGATAAACGGGGTAGCTGTCAATTATAGCTTTATCTTTTAAATCCTTACCTTTTGCACAACACGGGTGCCCATGTTGGTCCTTCGCTTATTGTGTTCCGTCTATAAACCACAACGTTACGATCTCCAAAGTTCCGCAAGATGTTGACGCGACCTGAAGCTGAGATTTACCCACGTCTATATACAGGTAAAAGCCAGTAAATTAGAATATTTTGAAAAACTTGATTTATTTCAGTAATTGCATTCAAAAGGTGTAACTTGTACATTATATTTATTCATTGCACACAGACTGATGCATTCAAATGTTTATTTCATTTAATTTTGATGATTTGAAGTGGCAACAAATGATAATCCAAAGTTCCGTGTGTCACTAAATTAGAATATTACTTAAGGCTAATACAAAAAAGGGATTTTTCTAAATGTTGGCCAACTGAAAAGTATGAAAATGAAAAATATGAGCATGTACAATACTCAATACTTGGTTGGAGCTCCTTTTGCCTCAATTACTGCATTAATGCGGCGTGGCATGGAGTCGATGAGTTTATGGCACTGCTCAGGTGTTATGAGAGCCCAGGTTGCTCTGATAGTGGCCTTCAACTCTTCTGCGTTTTTGGGTCTGGCATTCTGCATCTTCCTTTTCACAATACCCCACAGATTTTCTATGGGGCTAAGGTCAGGGGAGTTGGCTGGCCAATTTAGAACAGAAATACCATGGTCCGTAAACCAGGCACGGGTAGATTTTACGCTGTGTGCAGGCGCCAAGTCCTGTTGGAACCTGAAATCTCCATCTCCATAGAGCAGGTCAGCAGCAGGAAGCATGAAGTGCTCTAAAACTTGCTGGTAGACGGCTGCGTTGACCCTGGATCTCAGGAAACAGAGTGGACCGACACCAGCAGTTGACATGGCACACCAAACCATCACTGATGGTGGAAACTTTACACTAGACTTCAGGCAACGTGGATCCTGTGCCTCTCCTGTCTTCCTCCAGACTCTGGGACCTCGGTTTCCAAAGGAAATGCAAAATTTGCTTTTGTCAGAAAACATGACTTTGGACCATTCAGCAGCAGTCCAGTTCTTTTTTTCCTTAGCCCAGGTGAGACGCTTTTCGCGCTGTTTCTTGGTCAACAGTGGCTTGACACGAGGTATGCGGCAGTTGAAACCCATGTCTTTCAAGCGTCTCTTGGTGGTGGAACTCCTTGTGAATCTCCCCCACATTTTTGAATGGGTTTTTTTTCACAATTTTGACTAGGGCGCGGTGATCCCTATCGCTTGTACACTTTTTCTGACCACAGTTTTTCCTTCCCTTTGCCTCTCTATTAATGTGTTTGGACACAGAGCTCTGAGAACAGCCAGCCTCTTCAGCAATAACCTTTTGTGTATTTCCCTCCTTGTGCAATGTGTCGATGGTCGCCTTTTTGGACAGCTGTCAAATCTGAAGTCTTCCCCATGTTTGTGTAGGCTTCAGAACTGGACTGAGAGACCATTTAAAGCCCTTTGCAAGTGTTTTGAGTTAATCAGCTGAGTTAGTTAGCTAGTTTGTGGCACCAGGTGTCTTCAAAATTGGACCCTTACACAATATTCTAATTTTGTGACACACGGAATTTTGGATTATCATTTGTTGCCACTTCAAATCATCAAAATTAAATGAAATAAACATTTGAATGCATCAGTCTGTGTGCAATGAATACATATAATGTACAAGTTACACCTTTTGAATGCAATTACTGAAATAAATCAAGTTTTTCAAAATATTCTAATTTACTGGCTTTTACCTGTATGTACAGATTTGATCGATTGTACAGAATGTATAGAAAAAATAGAAATCACTGGAATACCCAGAAACTGTAATATGTCACATACAGGTAAACAATTAACTAAAACCATCATGTAGTCTGAGAGCCAAAAAGCATCTCATCAATCAAAGTAAAGAGCAACAACATTTTTGGTCAAATATTTATTGCATTTAAAAATAAATATATAAAATATTGCAACTATACTTACATTAAATAAAACTTAAAAGATTAAAATTAGGTTGATAAAAAAGGCACTTTAAACAGCTCCATGTTGTAATTTAGGCTTTTGATATTAAAGCTGGGAGCATCATTATTGTTTTGTAACTAAAGGTGTTCCCTATGCATACATAAAATACATTATATTAAAAAACAACAACTGTAAAGTGATACGACATCTAGCTTCATCCGTTTCTCTGAGTCGATTCTTCAAACTAGTTTGTCTTGGTATGAAACAAGCTTCCCTTTTGTTATTTTGCTACTTGCATCATCAGAAGACATTGCAGACCAAAAGTAGGACGGACTTTTAGGCTTTACACCCTTTACATTCTGTCTTTAATCTTCATGCAAGTACTTCTGGAGCTCAGTTTCTAGTGCTACCATTGACAGCCTCTCATCCTCGTCTTCCTCATCCTCCTCTTCTTCGGGGAGAGTCTCATCTCCATGATCAAGGAACAAGCCTGGCCGGATGTATGCCAGAGGACTGGACCCTTGATGTGGTTGCTGTGGAGAGCCTGTTAGAAGAAAAAAGCCCATAGAGCAAATAAGAATAATAAAATAACATTTATTGCTGTCTATTTTCAGTCTAACCATCATGATGATGATGCTTTAGTTTAGAGTACTCACAGAAGCTTTCCGATCCAGGAAGCACTTCAGTCCAGCTGTACTCTACCAAAGAAATAGGCTGACTGATCCAGGACTGCAAGAGCAGCCTATCCAACGTCATCCTCCTTTTTGGATCAGGATGGAGCAGCCCACGCAAAACAGCTTGCAAATCTATGAGAACATAGAAAGTTTTCATGATTTAAAAAAAAAAAAATCCTCCTTATGAAGTCAAAACAGTCAAACGAGTAACCAGTGGGAAAGGACACCAGCATACCTGGAGACAATGGAAATGGGGGCTTTAGTTTAGCTTCCAGGATCTCACCCACATCACAGAAAGGGTTTTCACTGAAGAGCAGAGTGTAGAGTAAAACTCCCAGAGACCACATCTCCAACTCTGGACCCCGATAACTAAAGAAGAGAAAACATGATCAAAATGAGCCGATGATGGAAAAAAGGATATAGTCTATTGAGCAAATTAGGATTGCAACAAAGGTAATTCATTTTAGTCACTATCAAAAGGTAACAAACGTTTAAACAAAACCTTTCAGCCAATTCTGGTAATGAGTTTATCTATTCTAAAGTGTCCATAAACCCACAGTCTGCATGCAATTGGAAAATTGACCAACTGATTAATTATTTCCTTGTTTCAGAGGCAGGTCCAGATTGATTTATTTCTTCTGCAGTCTGATTGTATTATTCATATGGTGTAAACCACTTGTGGAAATTTAGCACCAGATTGTGTCCATGTATTAAGTAAAATATGCTCAGAGCTACACAGGTGAAACCAATCTTTCTGATTCATCCTGGGTATGAAAGGAGTTGGACAATACCATTCCAAGTTATTTTTAAAAGATTGTTATGAATTGTTATGAGGTAAAGACCAGGAAAAAAACTGTTTCTACCTAAACAGTCTGTTCAACTATATAAGGAATAAACTACTTGTCATTTTAAAGTACTCACGGATTTCCCTGAAGCACCTCTGGGGAACAGTACTCTAGGGTGCCGCAGAAATTGTAAAATAGCTTCCCGGGTGCCAATACTGCAGCGGAACCGAAATCTATCAGTCGAATATGAAAGCACTTGTCAATGATGATGTTTTCATCTTTTATGTCCCTGTGAATTATGTTCTTGGTCCTCAGATAGAATACAGCTGCCACGAGCTAGAATGAGACATTACAACAATTTTAACAACGAATAAAACATCTTACTTGACATTCCAGACTCCATTCTTCCATCATTGCTATACTTTAGGGCCATTCACATACCTGTCTGAAGAGGTAGCTTGCTAGGGGCTCATCCAGCCTTGGCTGCATGTCTATGAATTCAAAAAGGTCCAAACCATCCCCATGTTTCTCCATCACCATCTGGAAGTAACTCCCATTCTCAAACACCTCCACCACCTAAAGAAGATTATTAGAGAACATTAAGAACAAATAATTCTAAAGGATGTGACTTAAATGCTCTGAAGCAACAGAGCAGTTACCTTGACAATGTTATGGTGCTGGACTCGAGTCAGTATGGCAATCTCTTGGCTCACTTTTCCGAGCATGGGGTCATCTACCCAGCAGTCACTCACTATTCTGGCCTTGCTAATGAATTTCACTATGACCTGCAGAGTTAGTGAAGATGCCATATTTTAACCATCTTACCCTCTTTAAGAAAGAAGAAAACAATGTACACGCTTGATATATGTCACACCTCTTGTCCATCACAGCGTCTTATGGCCTTCCAGACAAATCCAAAGGCTCCTTTACCCACAGCTTTGAGGGGCTGATACTCTTCCCTGAACTGTCCGTCACAGGCTCGAGAATGCTCAAGGTCCACCGTGGAGTGAAGCCCTTCCCCTTGGCTGACCTCACCACTTTTCTGATTGGAGGAAAAAACAGTTAGATCAAAGAAAAGCTTTCACTTTGATGTGGAAATAGACTATTACTGACCTCCCCAAGACTAACTCCTGACTGCTCATTAAATGATCGATCTGTATGCAACAATGTCCCCTGCTGGCCAGACCTGCTGATCCACACACAGAACATGAGGCTTCCATCAGCGTCTTTGGTCATGTGGACGTCACACTGCAAATCTAGGGAGAAAAAAGAAAAGAAAAAAAAAAACATATGTTGTTGTTGTGTTTATGGTTTAAGGGAAAATAGACCAACATTAAGACTTAATTACCAACCTACTCTGGTGCCATCTCTGTGGTATCCACTGCCTTCGCCACGTCCCTCTCGTATCGGTGGACTGTGAGAGGACAGATTGTGCTCAACAATCTTCTGTTTCTTCGGTGTGGACGTGGCAGGCATGTCTGTCAGTGACTGAGTCCCACTGTTCACTTGTAGAGAGCACTCCTGGCTCTTTCCCTTGTGAATAGCAGAGAGACTGTCCCACTGGTGTTCTTCATGGTGCTCCTTCTGTGGTTCCTCACTTGGATTGGTTTTGACCTCCACGGCCGTGTAGGAAGTCTCAGCAGACCCTTCTTCCTGGTCCGACCCGACCACACACGGCGAGGGGGTCCGCAGGAGCTCAGCTGTATCGCAAGATATCATGGAGTGTTGGTTCTCGTTGTATCCTCCGCCACTGAGCAGCTCCAGGCTACCACTCAGATCCAGGTCAGCCATGGCCCGAGTCACCTGATCTCCATTGCTGTTGATGTCCAGGTAGAAGCTGGCTGAGTCAGCTACATGTGCCTGGGCTGGACCGGAACCACCGTTGCCAGCAAATTTCTCACAGAAGCCAGAAGAAGATCTGGAAATTAAGGTTAAGTAATCCAAACACGATTATTTTTTATAGTTTCCAATATTCTAAATTTAGCAAATTAGTCATGTTAAGGGCCCTTAGATATCAGAAAATCATCTTCCCCTCACCTGCTGTCAAGTGAGATGACCTCAAAACTTGAGTTTTGAAGGACAGAAGCACAAGAGCGATGGTTTTTTCCTGAATCAGCACAGATGCCTCCTCCTGTCTCAACAGCATGTCCATTCTGAACTAGAGTAAAACATTGATATAAAAATAACTTTATACGTTTCCACAACACGATTATGATCAGCAGTAGACTTTAGGAAAGGGGGAAAACAAAAGTAATGAAAACATCAATACAACCACAGCACACCTGGAATCACATCGATAGAGGATGCATTCTTTTTCTGAGCCACATCACTCAGCTGCTTTGCTCTGTTAGGGGGCGGTGTTTCTCTGGGAGCCAGCGAGCAGATGTCTTCATCTGGAGGTTCCACCCAGGCAAACGTCTGGAGGAGCGCCTCTGTTGTGTCCACACCGTCCAGCTGGCCACAGTAGGGCGCTACTCGCGCTGCTTCCTCCATCAGTTCTGTAGTATCATTGCTTCTGTGGAAACAACAGATGTTTTCATTCTCTTCTTTCACAGGGAGATTGCATAGTAATAATAATAATAATGCCCCTACAAATTACTGTGATGAAATTATGAATACTGTTGAGGATAAATAATTTCCAAAAGCACTTATGTGTTATACTTAACAAAGTATAACCAATAAAACCTAAAGATTAACAAATAGAGAATAGAAACTAGATTAATAGTCATTCAAGTAATATATATATATATATAACATATTTTCCGAGCCGAAAAGGCTGAACAACTCTGGGATAAATGAAAATTTTAGAAAAAAGACAAACAGTGGGCAAAGTCCAATATGAGAAGCAAGCAAAAAAGCCTTTGAATGCCTCTATAGGCTAGTTAAAAATGCAGAATGAATATTGTGCTCGACAGCGGAGGAGCTTAGTGTCCAGATTCAGAGCGAAGCACATTAAATATACATGCAGTTTGGTGCTATTAACTGCCTGTTTGTTTCAACAGCAGCTTGTATCTATTTAGTGTTTAGAAGAAAACAAATGATCTAAACCTTATTTTAATATCTGCTTGCACATCCCCCTGTGATTTTGCAACATGGCCAGATGCCAGCATCCATTATTGTGACTTAAAAAGAACAACAACAATAACTGGAAAGAGCTGTTCCTGAAAAACAACAGGGAGAAGCCAGATCTGCTGAATTAGTAGACCAGAGGAAACTATGAGAGGAATATTCAATTAAAAAGTGACAGATGAAGACAAGAGATGAAGGATTTTCATAGAAAAGGTCTAAGGTCAAACACGTCACCAGAATACTAATCTTAAGTGAAAAGAAAAGAGTTGAAAATGTAAGTGTCACTAATTCTTTTCAGTGGGAAGAAGGCTCAAATCAATTGGAAGTAAAGTAAAATGGAGGTCTTATTTTAAGACGACCACAACAGCGTTATTCTCAAATTGTCCAGCAGAACAACTGATCATGTAAACATCACATTCCTGTGTGTGTTTGTGTGTGTGTGTGTGTGTGTGTGTGTGTGTGTGTGTGTGTCAGTTGGAGCAGCTACTGTGTTCTGTCTGTCAGTTATGCTGCCATGGAAATTCTGAGTCTGGACTTGGAAATGGGTCAAACGTCTCCAGTTGGTGGCAAAACTGTCAGCGGTCAATGTTTTTACACAGTAGGAAAAAGGTTTCTGCTGCTCAGATTGTCATGTCATTTATGTGTCTGAGGCCAAGGTTGAGAAAATGTAACCATGTTTGATCAGGTTTTGGGACTCAGGCCCCCTCCTTGTTTGAAATGCTGCTTATTAAAAGTTTGACGCTGTTCTTGTCATTTAGGTTCTACATGACAATTCCCACAATAATCTTGCTCATATTTGACAACAATCACACAGAGCCTGATAACTTACATAATGACGCGTGTGGAGCTGACGGCAGGAGGAGAGAGGGTGGACAGAGCACTGCCTACTTTATCCAGCCTTGCGGTGGTTCCGGTAAAGATCTTACCCCTTCCTGTTGAAGTCCTTCCCTGGACAGCCTGCTGTACAGTTGCCATGTCTCCAGCCACCAGGGAGGAAGGTTCTGAAGTGAAAATATCTCAATTATAAACAGTAAAGGGCAAGATAACTGTCCAAAGCGACAAATATACAAAGCATGGCAGCTGTGCCATGTCATGAAACAATTTTGAAGTTTATATATAGATTGCCCAAAAAAAAAATCAGTATCACATTGTGCACAAAATACCATATTTTTTTTCAAACAAACAAGTTTGAACTCACCAGATTTTCCTGATATTTTAGATGACACTGGACCCTTGCCGACCTCTACATGGGAAGAAGTGAGAAGGCCAGCCTTTCTGTCTGAGTCAGACATCCACTGGTAGAAACCAGGCATCAGGAAAGTGACACTCTGTTGGTGACAAAGCAGCAACAGGACTGAGAGCTGGCAGGATTCTCAATGCCAGCAGCCCAGTTCAGCTGATCATGAAGGCTAACCTTTCCTCGCAGCTCATCTTTGCTGTACCCAAACAGACTGAGGGCCAGATGGTCATGGATGCTGAAAATTGAACCATCAGGATGAAGCATAAGAAGGCCGCTCATGGGAGCAAACACCCAAACTGTTCCTGAGTACTCCAGAGCTGTCTTGGGGGACAAAATGAAGCTGTCCACTTCCACGTCTGTGAAGACCAAGACACATTCAGCAGACAGAATTAACACTGTGTGGTGCTTTCAAGAGGCTCTGCTTTCAGAACAGTTCAGCTGTCCCTGATGGCATTGAACAAAAATACTCATTATATTAGTGCGCTTCAACTAACACCCTTAACTGACCCTTAACTTTCCACAGCTTTAATAGAGGCCACATATAACATGCCCACATAGAAAATAATAACTTTTCAACTCTGTCCGAGAGAAACCATGCACTTTAAAGCTACCGGTGCCTCATGTATCAACTCACTATGGAGCATCAAACAAACTTTCTTACATTTTGATAAGTTTCAGCTAAAATTTGAAAATAAAAGTACATGCCCTGCTTTAACCCTTGTCAGAATTTTAATATCAGGCTGTTAGAGGCACACAGAACATAGAGTGCAACATATATATGCACCAGTTTCCTAAAAACAAACAAACAAAAACAAACACCTGATGACTGCTCCTCAGGCTGTGGACAGCACTCCTTTTGTGAAGTTTGTGTCTTCCCCACAGGTTTCTTTTGTTCCCCATTTGAAAGTTTTAGCTCTTCTTCTGTGGGGCTACCACACTTCCCATTCTGGTGCAGGGCTTTTCCACACAGTGCAGCACCCTGAAGTTTCACACAGAGTGGGACACATGCACCTCCTCTGCTTTTCCCGGACACTCTCTGAACCCTCAGCATCTGAGAGACAGAAGAAAAAACAATGTCAAACATTGAGGCTGAATTTAGTGAGTGGCTGGATTCATTTCTTTTGCATGTGCTAGAAAACATTTGGTTAAACACTCATTAAGGATTGCACTTGTCCTCATGTGAGCATAATTTTAAAGTGAATAAGCTTACTTTGGGCAAGGCATGACTGGAGCGGGGGATTTGTAAAGATGGAATTAGCTCTTTAACAGACATTCCTTTTAAATCCTCAGGGTGGTGGTATCCGTGAAGATGTGCAAATGCCTGGTCACAGGTTAAGATACAGCCCTAGAAATAGCACCAAATTACATATTTATTCAATTTAATCATCAATGTAAAATTTCAATACACATAAAAAGGAATATCATACTCATAGTACTGATAAATAGTAGTGTACTTACATCTTGTGAAAAGGACAAAAAGGCTGAAACCCTCTCCACACTTTCCATCATGACAAGCAAGTGCTCTTCATTTTGTGACTGTCTGCGGGTACACACCGAAACCGGCACCTCTCCAGATAACGTCACAGCATCAACCTACATTGATAGAAAAAAACATGCCCACAAATACACAAAAACACACTTGTGAAATCCAAACAAAGGTGGAGGGAATGACACATTTAATTGAACATTCGCATGACATATTAAGGAAAATAAAGGCCAAATATTGTATATTTCATACCACTTTTCCAGATAAAGCCACAACAGTTCCATCTGGAAGTGGAAAATCTTCCTCTAATGCTTCTCCCAGGACTTGACTGGTTTTCTTTAAGATAGAAGACAGCTTTTTCCCAATTAACTCCTCATTAGAGCACTCAAATAGTTTGCTTGCCTGTTCATTTGCTGACAAAACCTGGAAAAACAAACACAAATGGTCAAACGCATTTATAGCTGATAGTTACTATATCTTCAAAACGTTTAATCAGTGTAGCTTAGCAACCACAGCTCACAGTACAGATACACACCGTACCTCTCTGGTTTTATGGGAAAGAGTAAGAATGGCCTTGTTAGGGTTAAGAGAAGACAGGCGTCCAGGTAGGGCAAAACCTCCAGAGGTAAGGTGGGTAAAAAGTCTCTCCTCTGTTTCTGATGCAGTTGCTGGGTGTGGCAAGGATACTGCAGAAGCTTGGGATCCAGGAAGAACGCTTGAAAGCAGATCATTTCTTTCCGCCATGGAAGTACAAACATCTAAGCCTGTGAGAAGACACTTGATATTTAACAAATGAATACAGCAACAACTGTACAATAAAAACATGCTCATAATCGTGCACATAGTCAGCTTATCTAGTTTAGATAGAGCATGTGGAGATCTTGTTTTTTAACGTTTTTTCATGTGTACACAACTACAACCAAAACAACGACCCCAACCTGCTATGAAACCTGGATAATGACGACGCTGCAGGCTCCTCTTGTACGTGGGCCTCCGAGAACACGGGTAAGAATTATTCAGGTCAAATTCATCATCCACGTAACCAGAAGAGAGGTTAGGAGCAACACAAATAGTCTGTCTTTTATCTCTCATGCTCTGGTCGGCAACAAATCGAACTTCAGTTGTCAGCGACATTGCTTTTTATCACCTGGAGATGATTCCTAAATGGAGGATGCGTGGTTGACGAAATAATGGGTTAGAAGAACATGTCAAATTTGCACCAATGCAAATAATTAGAAAAGAGCAGGGAAACATACCTTAAGTCGGTGGGCAGCCTGTGTCTCTTGCAAGGATAGCCAGGCAAGGCAGTTTCAGTTGACGGGAGTTGACAAGGTAACAAGGTGACGATGCCTCCCGTGCATTGTTTGCCTAGCCTAGCCTACTGATTGCTAACTCTGCTGCTAATGCTACGACAAACAAACCCGCTCGGTTGTCTCCAACTAAAACAGCTTTTTTTGACGGTTTTTAATGAAACATTCTAATCTCACTTCGTTGCCGTGATTTTAGCACACCGTCGATATCCATTCAGGCCGGTCTAAATTAAAGTGAGACTTTATTATGATTATTTATCTTCATCCCGTATTGTTATTTTGTAAACCGCGGGCTTCAAGCACTGGCCACCCAGACGTTAAGAGGAGATTTCCTATAAGCCAATCAAGCTCTAGGTTTCTAAACGGGGAATGTTCATTGGATAAATAACCTATAACGCCCGCCTTTAGTTCCGTGGAAACCCATATGTGGAAACCTTGTCAGGAAGCCGGACTAAATATATTGTGAAAAGAAAAGAAAAAAAAATTCGAGACAGTATCACCATTTTACAAATTTAAATGAACTATGCAACAATGTTTAAAATTTGTTTTTTTTCTTGTTTCATTTCACCCTGGAGCAAAAGAAACACCGATTCAACTAATCAGTATGATTAAATCTATATTATTCGGTTAAAAAGTCAACAACTATCCTATTTACAGAAAATAACCCACATTAAAGCTATGATATTTTCACTTAATGTACAGAATTGAAGAACAGTGTATACATGTCTCATCAAACAGATCATAACAAAGATGATCCCATTACATAAGACAACCATCTGTGAGAAGTTGAGGGAACATGCTGCATGTTCCAGGTGCAATTACTGCTTGGGTCCATCTGGTGTTTTTTTATTCCCTCACCAAGTATCATCAACCACATGACTTTGTTTGGTGTCCAATAGCACCCCTGAAGGAGGGTCATCATCCAAACTTCACTGATGCAACTTTTCAACCCACAATAAAATTGATTCTATATTTTATCTACTAAAAGTATTATTGGTTGAGGTACACCTTAGGGGGAAAAAAATACTCTTTGCTGCGTTTTTTGGTGAAAAAGATAAATATGCAGAATAAGGCATAAAGGGACAAGTTTCAGAAATGTTTCTCTCTCTTTAAGTACATGTAAATAAATAAGTTTCTATTTATAAATTAATATGCCTGTGTTATCTAGAGATGGCTGTATAGCGTGGTGGTAATACTTAACTCTTTGGAACAGCTGGTTGGGAGTTTGAATCCCAACGAGCTTATATCCCAGGAGGAGGACATATATCATTTGACATATGAGTGGGAGACGTATTGAAGTCATTGTGGCTTGGATGTCACCTGGAGTAACAGGACGGACCGTTGGATTGATAGGAACTGCAAGCACCAATGATTAGTGCACGTAAAGGTTGATTTGGACCAGTGAGGGTCAAAACCACCATCTAGGATGAACAAACAAATATAAAAATGGCTGCAACTGATAAAGTGCATAGTGAATTCCTCAGGCAGCAGAAACCTGAGATAGAACAGGACCCATCATGGCAGGTTCACCCCTGCACAGCACAAAAAGCAGAAGTGGCAACTGTAGCATCAGAAAGGCTGAACAAAGCCAGACTGAAAGATAGCACAGAGGCCCTAATCATGGCAGCACAAGGTCAATGAAGTCTGGAATCTACCACATTGGACAGGATCCCAGGTGCAGGATAAAAAAATACTAAAGGCTGAGAAAGGATGTGAAGGGTTAAGGTGACAACGGTTCCTGTGGAAATTGGAAAACTCGGGGCAGTGACTCACAACCAGGGGGCTTGGCTCCAACGATCGTAGAAACAACATACAACTTGTCTGTCCAGAAGAGAGCAGTCCTAGGAATAAAAACAATACTGCACAGGAGCCTCCAGCTCCCAGGCCTCTGGTAGAGGACCTGAGCCTAAAGGATAATGATTGCCCTGGAGGGTGAATGGGGAACTAAAAAAATATATATATATATCTTGCAAAAAGATTGTGAGCAGAGTTTTATTATAATTTTTATTATGTCATTCAGTACATAACCAATTTATCAATCTTACAGACAAACAAGAATGGGTGGAAAGGACACATTAGGAAACAAAAACAAGGTCTTTTTTTCATAATTGAAAAAGAAAAATAGATACAGCAAACAGAGTATATAGACAAGTCTCCTAAATCTCACTCTCTGAGTATGTCTATTTCAATGTTACGGAATTGCTCAATCTTAGAGACAAACTCCAGCCGTAATGGAAGATGCTGATCCTGTGATTTAAAACTCGGTCAGATTTGAGAATCTTTGTTCTTCAAACAAAGTACAAACTAAGATTTCTTTAACATAAGGTACATATGATGTATATCATCTGTTTTTAAAAGCTTACTGCACTGTCATGGTCTCAGTGAGATGCTTGGAGGTAATAAGTTCTGCTAAAGTTTTCTAACCGTGCAATAACAGCCATATTCACATTAGTAATTTGCACATTGATGATATGTCTTTATGATATAATTTTCTTCAATAGATTTGGGGTTCAGCACTTTCTGCACAGGTTGCTGGAGTGAAAGAGATTGGAACTGTCCTGGTGAATCCTCATAATTTAGTTAGATCCTGTGCCAGGCTGCTATAGAGGTTGCATGCATGTTTTATCAATTAGCTCACTGTACGTTAATGAGTCATAAGAGCCAAGCATAACAACCTACACAGTCACACACATACAAACAATCATACACACGCAAACAACCCTGGGTATACTCGATTGGTGCCATGGCTGTGGAAATTGAGCTGTCATGAGCTTTTGAGCATAGTTCACTTGGAAGGGGTCATTGCTAATGGTGGAAGTCCCTTTTACTGTGTGGACGGTTGCCCAATATACGGTCCGCATTCGATGCAATATCTGCTGTAATCTTTGGAATTACCTAAAAACACAGAAGAAGCACATTCACATTTGGTAACAATACTCTGCTGCAAGACCATTAACCCAAATAATAATCACATGCCGAAATCTTTTCAATCTACCTGAATGGCTCCCAGGTTTTCTGTTAGTTGGCTTGGATTGGAGGCCCCAAGTAGCACGGAGCTCACTCCCTCATTCCTCAAACACCAGGCTGAAGATGAGTGACAGTGGAATATTAGTATCTTTCATAGTGACTCAAAATGTACAAATACCCTAATGCCATTAAACAATAAATGTTTTGATTTTTAATTCAGGAAGTGGGAAATGGGCTAGGTAATATCCTTTACCTATGGCTAGCTGAGGCAAAGTACATCCCAGCTTCTCTGCAATATGGGTAAGTTCTTTCAGTTTGGCTTGTTGTGTTCTCCCATCGTCGTTCAATACCTTCTCCTTCAACCACTGGTATGGCTATGAAAGAAAAAACAAGAAACAAAACTTGAGATATGTGGTTCAAAGACAGGCAAAACCCCACACATGATCATATTGCATGCTTAAATAAGATACAACTAATGACTAAAATAGTGTGATCACATCTTGTGGGGGAAATTCAAAGTCAGAATAAAAAATGTTGAGTCATCTCTGCTTAGTTTTTCTTTAATGACATAACAGCTTATTAAACATCTTCTGAAAAAGGTCGATTAACATATTTTCCCAGGGCTGTGTAAAGCTCTGTGTGATGGGCAAATGAAATTCAACCCCTACCTTCATTGCAGCCCTGGAGGATTCAGGGATGCCATTCTCATACTTTCCAGTAATAATTCCACATGCCAAAGGAGACCAAGAGACCACACCTACGCCTGTGATGACACAATGACCACTCAGCAGCAGAAAAAAATAAATAAATTCTATTGCAACTCTGGAAAAGCTTTAGGGCAATTTAGTCCTCACCCACCTATTTTGTGGTAAAGCTCTGGAAGCTGAGTTTCCACTTTCTCCCTCTGAAAGAAATTATACTCCGCCTGCTCACACACTGGTGGAATAAGATTAAACTGTCTGGCCACGGAATACGCTTCCTAATTAAATTGGAAGTGGGAATAACAAGAAAAGTGTAAAATGTCAAAGAGATTAGGAACATCCACAAACTGACCTTTGTACTGTATGACTGTTATCTTTTCCCAGTGCTGCATATGATGAAGCCTTTCAATGTAGTTGCTCAACTGGCATTTAATTGGATTTTGTACGACCCTCTAAAGCTTCGAGAAAACTGGGCATATATCACAGTGATGGCAGCTTTATTTGTGACAGAACATTTGATTTAATTAGAAACTGGTTCACGGCTCAACTCGATTTCTCTTCACTTTTCATATATTTTCCATCAGTCTATAGACAACAGAACACACATAAAACTATTAAGATGATGTCCTTCAAAAGAGACTGAACAGCAATGTAATTTAAAAATGTATTTCAAATGCATTTCAAATGTTTTCTTTGTTTGGGTGATCAGAATGAATCTGCTTGGATGTGTTTCATGGCATTAAAACAAAGCATCCTAAATGTTACAAGGACAAACAAATGTCAACATGTATTCCCCGGCTGGCCTTTATCTTTATGAGATGGGTCATATCTTTTTTTAACCGCTTACCATGATCTCCATGGCAGACCAGCGTGATGTGCCCCAGTACATAGCCATCCCCTGGTTGATCACATGAGTCATTGCTCTCACTATCTCTGTAGAAACAAAACATTGAATGCTGAATAAATAAATGATCACTGGACATTAGGTGGCACTATTATTGCACAACTAGATGTGTACTGAGGTTGATTTACAACACTTTTACTTTCAAATGAGATTTTTAGAGAATTTCTGACTCTGGCATGTTTCTGTAATTATTGTTAGATTTTCAAAATGATTAAAACAAATCTCGACCTTACCATTTTTAATGCTTCTCTCCTTTTGAAATTGATCGATAAGCAGTTATCGTTTGTCGGTGTCACGCTGCGTAACGTGGTCAGATATTATAGGGGTGAAATGAAGAATCTAGTCTTGCCAGAATGTGGTTGGTTCAGCAAAATAAATAATTTTAAATTTATACTGAAGAAGAACAATACAGCCACAAAACCCTCAATAATTTTGCATATTCATGGAAGCAGAGGCAGCATAGATGTTATGAGTGATGGACTAGAGGAGAGGCAAAGCTCTCTTTCCATAGACTTTTGTGTAACTTGAGTTATTTTTTGCTTAGTTTAGGAAAAACACTTACTATGTTGTGTCGCGAATGCAACGTAAATTCCAGTTGCATATAAACAACAACAAAGTAATATGTTGTGCATCAATGATACATCTGCTCCATTAGCACAATGTAAAGGCTGAAAAATGTGAAAAAGAACATTAGAACAGACAAACATAGTTAAGAAGAGTTTGCAAAAACATCAATAATCCACCTTAGCGCCCGGAGGAAAAGACGACACCCTGATTTAAGGCAACATTCAGGTCTTAACATCAAGCTACTTTCCACCAGAATGTGGTGAGTCATCAGGTACAACAGCAGAAGGCACTCTGTGCCTGGAGCTCAGGCAAAAAGCCTATCACCGGCCTTAAGAAAACCCAGTTGTGAGATGATGTTGATGAAGTTATGTCCATATGCACATGTATGAGAGCCAAATGTTCTGGTTTTGGTTGCTTTAGTGTGTGTGAGCTTCATGACATCAACATTCAATTGCAGCCAATTATGACAAGGTACGAAGGCTTGCAACAGGAGGTAAAAAATACGGAAAAAGGGTCTGTAAAAAGGAATTAAAAACCACCTGCCTGCATCTCTGAAGCTAAATTATTTGCATGCACATAACAGAAACGAGTTTGGCTTTTAGCCAGCATCTGTGTGTCCTTGAGCCCTCTCACAGTCGCAACAGACGTCTGAATCTGAAACATTAGCGCTTCTTCAGCCAGCAGGTGTGAAAAGTCCTTATTCTGTACAATGCAGAACAAAGAAACCCACACGTACTGATCTCCATATTTGCCTGGGCAGGTCTTTACAGATATCACGGCATCTGTGAGATTTTTTTCTTTCTTAATGTGGTTCACCTTTTCTAAAGTTCATACTCTTCATCACATCACAGCAGACTTGCACAGGGCTGAAAAAAGGGATTTTATGATATGCAGAATCTAACACAACTTACTGTGCAAGCTGTGGCGTACCTATTAATACAATGAATTAAATTGACATGACATAGATTCTCCTCCTGAGGCACATTTTCGTAATATGTGCAGTAATGAGTGCTTCCTAAATAAAATGATCAGATGACATGTTAGGTTGGGGAAAACTTTTTACAAAAATGACGCCTTTGTAACAATCAATTGTGACAGTAAAGCACAGTTTTGGAGATGAAATTAGATTCAGAGTCTTGGAAATAAGGGGGAGATTGTACATTTATGACACATTGACTCAGTTGAAAAAACAAAGAAGTCCAAAATATGTACAGAGAGAAAGAGAGGAAGGAAGCAGAGGAGGATGAAGCTATGGGAGAAGGAAGCAGTGATGGTAACAAAGGCCAACTCCAGTACCCTGACTTTTTTCTTTTTGTCCGAGGGGATGCAAGTTCTTTCATGCACAGTCGTAAGAAATTAAAGTCACTAATGCAAACACAAATGCATGCATATGCACCTGTTCATCACTGTTACATAGTTGTTTGTAACACCTGTCGATCTCTCATGCTCCATTTTGCATTTTAATGATGGTGTTAAGCCAGTTGGAGTTTCAGGGACTGATGTGGGCGTATGAATCGATATCTCTGACATGTGAATAACAAGTTCATGTGCTGCATATTTTCAGGGAGAGAGAGCAACCCACAGTGCTGCCTGGATACTTAGTGAGTCTACGAGCTACCACATTCAAATTCATCAGATATGTGGCAGCAATGTGGAAAATGTTAACTTTTTTCATCTGCTCTGCAGCTGCCAGTAATTGTAGAGTTATACATACTAAAACTTGGTCAGAATTGTGTGGTAAAAATCAGTTGTGCTTTCTGTTAATCTGTAAATAACTGATGCCATCATCAGCTCCATAACATCCCAGGATCTTATTTGAGAGTGAGAAATTATTTTCTTTTCCAAACATACCTGTAGGCCTATGTGGCCAAGAAAAATTAAAAGAAAAACTCACAGGACTTGTTTCAAGAATCTAGGGGGTTGTTTCAAAGTTCTTTTGATTACTTCTAGAGCTGAATTTTGGGGTAAGGATGATTAGACAGCTGACTTTTGATTAATCTGTTACTAGTGTTCTTTTAAAAACATTTCCTGGGGATCTTTTGAAGTTAAATAACAGTTTCAATTTGACCTTTCAATACAGTTAGTTATCTCCAAAATTGTAATATTCAAATACTTTTTAAAATATTTTACTCACTTTTGTCAACTAAGTAAAATCTCCAGGGATACATAAAGTTTACAGTTCCTTTAGTGTTCCTTAATTTTTGCACTATAAAACTGTCTAAAAAAACAAAACAAAAACAAAAAAAACATATCCTGCTTTAGATGTCTGGGAGAAAGTATTCAAGACTGTTAATCATCAATCAGTTATTGTCATAAGGTATCCCTCCAGTCATCCTGTTTGAATCTAAGGGCATTATTTTGTCAATAAGATTAGAAACTGCAACATCAGTTGTCAGTTATTAAGTGACGTTAAGGTTTGATGGGAAAGTCTGTTAGGTTTTACCTGCCAGTCACAAGCATCATTAGTGACAGCAAAGCCCCAGGAACCCTAAATATGACAGATTGGCCCCCCACGTTCAACTGTCTCATAGAGGAGGAAGCAAGGCGTGCAAAGAAGGAGACTGAAAGGTATTTTTAGAAGATCAGAGGGATACAATCCCTTCAGTCAAATGCTATCAGTGGATGAGAGCTTGTGTAAAAACTCCAAAAAGGAGCCCGAGCATCTGTGATTGACACTTCAAGGGAGAAAAGTAATTTAGGAGGATTTAGCGAAGAAATAAATAGTAACACAAGGTATATGTGTGGGAAAGGCTGTCCTAGCACACTTAAGGAATCAAGCACACAGCATGGCTTGTATCTAGTGAAACCAGCCCAAAAATACACCATCCTCTCCCGGAGGGGCCATATAATCCTGCTTCTGAAGTGCAGGGAGGGCTGGGAGCGGGTGCAGCTCAGAGACCCTGTGGAGGCTAGCGATCCCACAGAGACAGAAGAGGAATAAAGGAAGATTGGTTAACTGAAATAGAGGACAAGTGATGAGGCAAGACTGTCAGATATATAATGTGCGTGAGCTTGTTAGAAGAAAACACTCCTGTTAGACCTCATGGGCCCTGTCCGGTAATAGCAGTGCTCCCATTAGTATTTTTCACCCTCTCATATTACAGAACAACATGTGTTCTCGCTGTCCCAACCCTCCACCAGTCCCGTGAGATTTGTCGCCACTCACCCTCCATAGGAGTGTTGCTGTCTGCCCTGTTGGCAAATACCACATCCACATACTCGAGCTGCATCCTCTGGAGAGAGCCTTTTAAACCTGAGGTGAGAGAAGAGATTTAAAAATTTTGTGGGCAAGACAGTAATTCAATAAATGTCATAAGTTTTGCACGTACGTTTTGTAGTGGAAATACACACGCAAAAGCCTTTTAAATCAGGTTTACATTTACATAGAATGACATCTCACTTAAACCTGATATTTATCAAAAGAATCACACTCAGACGTGGTGTTTTTTGTGAAGGTTGAGAAATGCTGGCTTTTGATGAATGGATTCAAGTCAGTTACATGAGTAAAAATGTTGTCTACAATATAGATGTGATCCACTGGAGCATTGGGCTGTCACTTTGCACGGTGGCTGCCCATTCAGCCTCTGATCAGCCACCAGAGGTTTTATCAGACTTGTTGGATATCTTTGTCCTTGGATTTACTCGTGCTCTCTTACATCTCTATTATCAGCCATTTTTCCAATTTGAGTTGATTTACATAGATGGTGAAAATTCACTCTATTCTTTTCCCTAATCTCAGTAAGTGTCAGCTGGGCTCACCTGCTAAAATTCCTTCCTGCTTTGTGGTGCTCAGATGGTGCTCTGAACGCTGCCAACTACAGCTAAGGTAATGACTACTCATAAATACTTCAGATGACCCTACTTAAAAAGTGAACTATGCCTCTCCATACAGGTTGAGAGGGGATTTAGTACTTTCTCACTCGAATTCCTGAAATCAGCATTAAAATACAAACGTTTCAGGCAATATTTTTTAGCAACCGACACAAACACTTAGTTGTGTCATTAAGAGAGCAATCTGAATTTTGAGTGAAAGTGATGCACTCTTATAGATTCCACAGAGTATTTAAGGCAGCTTTCAGGATGATCACCTCCAAGCTGAGCTTGCATTCTAATTAGATCTACTCTAAAGATGGATTCAAAAGAGTTGGCTAGTTGGTTGGATAACCAAACAATTCAACGCCAAAAGAAGACGATAATCTCGTTCACTCCAATGAGGCAGGCCAGCCACCATTCAGACACACACAGAAAACCAGATGTGAGATGAAAAGCGCACACGAGAGGCTGTCGCAAAGGAGGACAGCACAGTAATAGAGGCGTGGAACAGTTTGGGTGTGTGCGTGGCAGATTAGTGCCAGAGGCTTCTTCATCACCCACTAATCTCAGCTGAGAGTTAGACGCTCCCTAGCACTGTTAGAACCACTTATACCTTCTTCTGTCATCTGCGCCCCCACAATCCCAGAAACACCCTGTACAAGGAGCCTGCACTGTCATCATGAGCAGTTTCTGCTGCCACTGGGATTAGCTAGAGTTACAGGCAGAGAAGTGAGTCTATTTTAGGAAAAGAGAGAAAAGATGCAGAACAACAAAGCTGATTCAACTGGATTCTGAATAATGCATGAAAGTTTTTGTTTGATTAAAGTGTCCTTCAACTCTCAAACTGTCATGGAATTTTGGAGAACTCTGATAAACTTTTCTGATTTCTAGAGACTTTCACTTGCACAGGCTTGCATGCTCACCTCATGGTTCCTCTAAGATGATCTCACAGATCATTAGATTAGGATGTCAAATCATACCCAGAAAAAGACACTGAATCAATCAAATGAGTCTGTGACAGGCCACTGACACGGAGAACGGTGTGAGCAGATGTTACTCTGAGCCAGCACACCCGCCTGTGACGGCATATGGCACTCCAACACCACAGCTTCTCCCAGAAATGCCCTCGCCTGAACTGGATTTAGCGAATTCACCGTCAGTCTTTTCTTCAGGTCTTCTACTCTCTGCAACCATCTGTTTTACAATCGCCGTCCTTCTTTAGGACACTCCTGAGGTGAATTCCACATCCCTCCTTTGAAGGGAGAAAGTTGCAGGGGCTGCAGTGAATGCTAATAATGTGGAAGAGAGCTGAGTCACTGCGAGAGGTGCAGTGCGCCGTGTAGCGGTAAGTTGTTTGTGAAATGAGGGGTGAGAAAGTTTAGTTGCCATGAGCTCGACTAAGGCCACATTTCCTCCTAAAGAGCTAGCACGGGATATAAGAGAAGAGAATACAAGTGACGCTAGTAGTGCAAGATGAAGGCATTTCTATTGAATAGACACTTGTAAGGGTTTTACAAGTGAACAAACTGATTTACCGCCGCACCAACATCAAAGAGGTGAGAGGAGTTGTAGACAGGAACAAAACGGGAGGAAAACAGTTTAAAGAATGAGATAACAGAGCTGTTACTGCAGAACTAAGAGTGCAAAGAAATTGACTTGTTACCTTCAATGATGTGCTTTCTGTTGAGGCCTCTCTCTGTCTCTGCTCTGCAACAGTGGAAAGAATTGCACATCAGGCACGCAAGGGATGTTGATATATAAAATAATATATATATATTTGTGAGTTTTACACACATGCACACACATTTGAACGTAACGTTTCAAAACCTACCAGACTATAAAACACAACAGCACATAAATTATGCGTTACTTGCTACACACAAAAAAAGTGCACCCATTCAGTTCTGTGTATTGAGCGTCTAGTTAACAAACAAACCATACAGTGCAACTGTGCAGTGGGAAAAGTCATCGCTTATCACATCAGAGGGTGCTCATCACAAGTGATTTGTGAAGTGGTGTCAGAGTTAGCGTGGCTTTAGTGAAATGGCTCCGCAGACCCATGTAACAGACAGCCACTGTATGCCACACAGGAAGGGCTTTTCAATCACTTGTTGTGAAGTATTTATGCATATAAAGGACACCAACTACCTCAAGCCAGCTGTTACCAGGTCAAAGGTTTAAGAGGAAAAAAAGGTTCATTTCAGTGTTTGCATTTTAATTACAGCTGTTGTTTATTTCTTCATTTCCATTTTCTAATTTTGCACTTCTACTTCACCAAAGTTTAGGACTAACCAAGCCAAATCAAATATATTTATATAATAACACAGTCAAACACACATATGTATATGTATAATTATAAAATTTACTGCAGCAGTGGGAACAATTGAATTATATCATGCATTAGTGAAAATCTAATTTTAAATAGAACAACTCCCTTGGACAAGCATGAAAAAGCTATGTAATTTGACAGAACAGATAAAATCATAAGTTAGAGCACTGGCAGAGGACATACACGTATCCAGAAACACCTGTCTTTGAGTCAAGAAGAAGTCCAATATTCACTCTCCTGTTATCACTAACCTTTCTTGACATGTAACTATAGTCCTATAGAATTACTGTTTTCTTGAAGATGATGGTTTGTCTGAAATCTACTCATGCTAGTTGCCTCGCTTGTGTTTATTCAGCCACCTCAGGATTTTCCCCATCTCTGCATTTTCAGCTTCATTGCTAATTTTCCTTCTTTTCCAGTGAGTTTTTATTCTAACTGAGTAGTTGTTTTGTTTTAAAGGTCTACTTTATCACACACACACAAAATATCCATATCATCAGAATCAGACATTCATACTCTGTGTGTAAGCAGTGAATGTGCAACTATCAGATGTGCAGATGTCCATCGTGTCCAATCTCAGAGCTTGCTCATTTGGGGGTTAAGTTGTTATTCTCTTAATTCATCTGAGGTTTTAAACGATTTTGAATGAATTGATGGAAAGTCTAAGAGCGTGAGGTAAGTTAAATTTACACAACCCCTCTTGGGCCCTAGTCTACTGAGCTATATCAGACGAAAAGAAAACCAAAAGTAGTGTGTGGATTTACTGGTGGATGCTCTACTTCCGTTAGTGAAAGCCTGAAGACGAAGAGGAAGAGGGAATCTGACTAATGTGGACTGAACATAGAGAGCTTCAGCATGAGAGCAGAAACACACACAGCATTTGTCCTGAAGGCTGAGGAGTGGAGAGACAGTAAGGAAAAGGGTGACCACGTCTATGCTGTCATTTTTGAGTGTGTCCTCTTCGTCTGTGCATTTGTGGTTTCCCAGAATTACTCATCTTATGTCAGTCTCCCTGCAGCTGGAAGTAAAAGCTTTATGTCTTGACAGTTTTTGGCCAGAGAGATAGAACATCTGTCAGAAAATCCACATGCTGGACATACACTTACTTTCCTCCCCAGTAGAGCTTAGTGGTGATCACAAGGCTGGATCTCCTGAAATAGACACACAATTGATAAACAGGAAATTCAAAGTTACCCCAAAAAACTATAAAGTAGCATAGCAGTGCCTTTATTTGTCCTGGCATGTGACAAATGTGTACACTGTATAATGTGAGTCCTTGAGTAGCCTTCTAACTTTTAGTGAAAGTGTCAGACAAGCTGTGAGGACTGGTATAGTCATGTCTCTGAACTCTAACAAGATATGACTCTCTCAAGATCAAATCTTCCATGCTTGAATGATCAATAATTTAAACAGACCTAGAGCTAGAGTTAAGGGAGGTAGAGAACTGTCCTGAGATGCCGAGAGGGGTGATACACGAATGCTCTGCTGTGCAGTATGGGAATGCATGCAATTTAAGTAATGCGAGAAACAAGAAAGCTCTGCAGCACTTTTATAAAACATGCAGACCTTTCCATATTCTGCATAGAGTGAATCAGTGTTTGTCATCCATCCAAAGTACGGTTGGTAAGGTGAATGTTCTACTATTTATTCTCACAAAAAAGCAGAAACACAAAACTATTTTAAGCAGAAATACCTTGTACAAAAGGTGTTGGCCGGTTGGGGTACTTTACGTGCTTATTTGAATGCTTGGCACATTTTTGAAAATGACAAAACGGTACTGGCACAAAATTCGAATTAATTTGACCGATGCCAGTTTGACTCTGCAGAAGGTACTGCTATGCTGCTGCACAGGTGAAATTAAATACATTTTCAGAAGTCCATGATTGTTCCTCAGTTACAGGGTGATATTTTTTCTTGAGCCCAGTTAAATTAGCCCTATTTTTAAAAAAATGGATTAAATAAAATGACTATATAAAGTGACTCATTAATCTTGCATTTTGTCAGACTGAAAATACTAAAGTATACCACACTGTGTGATATTACAGAATGGTGGCATCAGAAGGTATTAAGACTAAATTATTACTTTTCTGACCCCACACGTATAGAGCAACCTGCATGCCTGACTTAGATAGGGATCTCAAAACTCTTGTCCTCAAGAGCTACTATCCTGCAGGTTTTAGATACTACTCCAACACTCCTGATTTAGATTGAATAGATCTCTTCCAAAGTCTGTGAAGGTTTTCAAAACCCTGCCATTGGTTCACAATTTTGAATAGGGTGAGCTGAAGCAGGGAAATATCTAAAACCTGCTGGACAGCAAACCATGAAGATCTCCTCTGAGGTAGGAATTAGGGCTTCAAATTATTTCAAAGGGCTGGAAATAAATGTATGTACGTGCTGGGTGGGGGTTTGAGTCCATGTTCAAGCCGCCTTAATTCAGGTTTTTTCCAATGGGATAGTATCAAAAAGTAACGTCCATAAGAAGAAGATTTTCTAGATTGGAGGAGCCCAACCCCTGCCTTTGCAATAAGTGGAAGCACCAGGTTTTATCAACCAAAATCAGCGCCTGATGTCACGAACGCTTTTGTGACAGAATGGGAGCAACTCTTTGCTAGCAGACTCTAAAATCATGTTAAAACCATCTCAGAGGAGTGACTTCCTTCATAAAAGAGAGCAAATAAATCATGGTAGGACCATAATATGGGCACAGATTTGAATACAGCACAATACACAGTCTGAAACAAACTGTTGTTATATTATGTAAAATCTGTTGTGTTCTAATGACACTTTACCTCCAGCACTTTTTCTTGATGATATTTCCCAGGATTATCTCCGCTCTGTGAATAAATTATGAACGAAAATAAAAACAAAACACAGACATTAGATTAGATCTCAGACTGCTATTATTCTAACAGCATGTAAGCGAGAGCGTTGTCTGCCACACATCTAGAGCATGAATGCCTGATTAAAGAACCAGATGAGCGAACATGATAAATGAGAAATGCATCTTACATCATATGCCTGCATTTCAATAGAAGCCTTTAGGTTAATATTGACCCCATTACTGCTGCAGCGTATCCTGCATTATTTACTCAGACAATGTCCAGCCGGGAGGTTAGACCAAGCTGCGAGCATAAACAAAGCTCCCCGTGATGAGTAAGAGTATATATCACTTCAGAGACTCAGGGACTTTGTGTTACTAGGGTGCACAGGTTCTTTTTCATGGGCTGTACTTTGCTCCTATCTGAGGTCCTGAAGGGGAACATTGGTGAAAACAAATGAGAGACATCACTTACTTCCCTCCAGAGTAGACCTCGGCTGTGTCGAACAAGTTGACCCCGCTCTCATATGCGATGGTCATCAGCTGCTCAGCCACCTGACACGAGTGAGAGTAGTGTCTCCTCAGTGAGGTGTAATAAAACATTTTTTTAAAACCTGAACCATACTTCAAAAATGAAAGAAATTCCCTTAAGATCTCGAAGGACGGAAAATGTCTTTACTGACGGAATATCACAAGGAAGACTGAACTTGCTTCATGCTCATTTATGCCATTTAGTAAATACAGTATCTCAGACATTTTGACTCTGTGAATGCGTCTTTAAATTGTGAGAAAGGATCAGTTGTGATTGAAGAAAATGCTCCTTCTGTGCTCTGTTTTAGGGATTGTCTTTGTGCTACTTTGCCCCAGTGGTTACCAGCCACTTATACGTTTTCCCCGTTCAGCATTTTTCTTCGAGGCCTGGTCATTTCACTTGAAAAGGTCTTCCATGAAATTAGTGACAGTGAGGAATGAGACATGCCCAGTTGGCCTTGGTTAAGCCACTGGGGACATTAACAGCCTGCTGTGAAACTGAAAAATTGATACCTGGATGAATACCATAGTCTATTAAAGCCCCCTCCACTTTATATCCAGCCAGACTGAATTGCTGCTCTTGAACTGTGACAGCTGAGGAATGAAACGGACATAAAGTCTTACCTCATCAGAGATCTGACCTCCAAATGTTACCCATGTTCCTGTTGGAGAAAATGTCAAAAGTCAAAGCTTTAACACAAACAAACAACACCAAAGACCTTGTGCATATAAATGAAAGATTTCAAAAGTGAATGCTTTAATATTTTGAAATGTTTGGCATGGACAAACGGCAAAATGTCTCCCGCTTCAGAGCCATCACAACCAAATGCCAAATGAATGTAGATAAGTTGAGAGAGAAATGACTCAAGCTTTCCTGTATTTCTTTAAACAACATGACAACATTTCTAATTCTAAATTAAGTGACTTGACTGTTTACATAAATGTGACACATCTATATTTTGTGGCTGTGTGCCTCTGGCACTTTTACTCGTGCATCTGTTTATAATTCTTATGTAGGAAAACATGAATGTCTTGGTTGGCAAAATATTTAGTGGAAGCTTTATGATTTTTTTTCTTTTTCAAAGGGATAAATACATGATGAGAGACATATTGATATGTGAGTTTCTTTGAATTCAACTATTTGATTTACAATCAAGATCTAGAGGTATTATAATTAGCTTTTAATGCTCCTCATTTTGGGTTTTGGAGCATTCCTCTTTTGAAACAGTAACTAACAAGACTTTGCCATGACCTTTTTAATATTGTCACTATGATTCATATCTTAATTTCGGGTAATTGCCTTGATAAAAGTGCTTCTAAACAATATGCAAACGATTGTCAGGAGACTGTGTTTTCTCTCCACAATATCTGTTCCAAGTGGGTTTTAAGATCCAAGGATCACAGGCACATAATCTGAGAATCTGACCATTTGTTTGGTCTGCATCAGTGGAGGACTCACTTCTCGAAATTGGACTGACAGAATAATAACAACCTCAAGAATCAGAAGATCACCACAGAAGAATAGTAGAATGCAAGAGGAGCAAAAAACTCGGTAAAGCTTAAAGAACTGTTTGATGACTTTGCAAGTAGATAAAAGCTATAAAAAATGTTGTTTTGATGTGTCACAAGACATGTCACATGCAAAGTAAGCCATCAGTTCTACAGCTGAGGACTTCAGCATTGAACATGAAGAACTACCCCAACAAGTGAATGTTAAGGCAATTTCATTTATTACTGTTAGAGTGAATCTAAATGTTGATGATAGAAACACAAATATACACAACATAGACTTAATGATCTATCAACACATATAATCTCTGTGATACAATTGTCCACTATCTGGAGCCTTTCCTAGCTGACATTGGGTAAGAGGTGGGGTACACCCTGGACAGATGGCCACTTCATCACAGGGACACACAGAGACAAACAACCACACACCCACGTTCATGTTTAAGGACCAATTAGTGTTAGCAAGTAACCTAACGTGCATATTTTTGGATGGCAGGAGGAGGACAGACTACCCAGAGAGACTGCATGTGTATACGGGAATTTTAATAGGACACCCTTTGCCATGAGGTGTCATTGTTAACCACCACACCACCATGCAGTCCTGCAGAATATATATATATTTAAACTCTAACAAACACTTACATACAGTGTAAACAATGCATGTTTAACCTGAACTGGCTTTTTTATCTAAACAGATGCAAAGTTTTTCTTAAATTGACCAGAAATGCTGAATATTTTGCTTCCTCAAAGTGCCACATGAAGCTGATAACAAAATAATGGAAAGCCTCCCTTCAGATCAACAACTAGCGGTACAGCAGCAGATTGGTGTAGGCGCAGGATGACTTTTCTCAGCTGGCAGTGGTCAAAACAAAATCTGCCCAGTTTTATAAGACTGACAACTGAAACATGTTGCGACGTACTGACTAAATATGAGTGCAGTCTTTTCTATGTGCTCCTTACTATAGAAGGTTGGTGTTAAGAATGATTAACGTAATTCTTGATTAAACAAATTATGTTTGAATCTTTTTCTATAAAAATTCCCAGTAAACATTTTGTAAACAGTTTCAAATTTTCATTTCATAGAAAAAGATGAGCTAAACATCCCACGGCAATCCTTCGTTTTCACATACTTTGCTTCTGGCCCTGACCTGGTTGGTGTCGGTAAAGCGACACAAATAGCTGAGGAATAACACTACGCAACACTCATGTGTCGAGGGTCAGAGTTAGCTTTGAATCATCATAACTGTCTGCACAAAAACACATAAAAACATGTGCTTGTGCGGAGCTTCCATGGTCTCCTATGCCATTTTATACAACTTAAAAATGAAAGGGCAAAAGTGACATAATGAAATAAATAATAAAACTCCCACTAAATTAGTTAGAGCAATTTAATGGAGTTAAACATAAAATGTTCTCCATGCAAGAACATTCACACACATATTTGTGCAATAACACACAAAAAAATTGCAACAAAAGCTAAATTGTACTTTAATGTTTTTTAACTTATCAGATCTTTGCTAACTCTAATTACATATACTCACCAAGTCCCAGACAGGAGACACGCAATCCAGATTTCCCCAGGTTCCTATGCAAGAAATCAAACCATGAATTGGGAAGAAAGTATATTTTCTATAATTTCTACTATATCATACCTATATTCTATCACCCCACTATTTCAATCCCACAGCATTGGTACTATCACCCGACAGACAAGAAATTTATATATTTATATATATATATACATATATATGAATATATATAATAAATATAAATATATATAATATATGAATATATATATATATGAATATATATATAATAAATATAAATATATATAATATATATAATATATGAATATATATATTTACATATACATCATGATCATTTTTTATTTCTTCTTACATTTGATTATTCTGAGGGTCACCACAAGCAATTTAATGAATTCTAACTGAGGTTACTGGCAAAAACTCTAAATGAGCACACCTCTGAAAGAACACCTTTTCAAAGTTCACTCAAATGTAAGAAAACAATACAGTTTACTGTTGCATCAGACTGTTAGTGCGCTGCTCCATGACAGATGTCGACTTTTACTTCTCTCCCGTTATTTCTCACTTGATTGCCTCTCATCCTTGGAGCATTTGACATCCTCCTGCAAGAGGAGTCCCCCCAGAAAACAATCCAGACAATCATGCTCACTCCCAAGCACTGGTGTTGCGTAACGTCCGCACTGACTCCCTTTCACTGCTGCATCTCTGTACTTATTTAACATGCTGTGGTAGATGGTAAATATGATTCATCTGCCAGATAATAGCTAACATTTTTCATGCAGCTGATGTGCAGCTATGTAATTCGACATATTCAAATCATAGAATACAACACACCACTGCATTTTGTCTCTGGTTTTGCAGTCTGTGGCAGTCCTACTGAGAGATAGTCTCATGCGTTGCAAACGTTTAATTGCTCAATATAGACTGTGAGTGGTTCCTTCTCCCTCCAGCTGCCACAGGTGTGTCTCAGCGTGTGATAGATGGAGACCATAAGTGCACCAAAAAACTGCTTCGAGGAGATACACAGTGCCACAGACATCTGACTGCAGAATCCCTACTTTTCCAAGGGTGCACACACACATAGACGCACCGAACAATTATCACTAGAGAAACACTGCATTTTGAGAGCTGAACGCGAACAGAAACAACCTCCCGTTATGTTCTTGTGATTATGCCTTCTGTTCAGTTTTGCAGGCACTGACTCATTACAACAAATGAGGCTGTAAAAAATGCCAGCAGTTGTTTTTTTCTAATCCTCGAAAATGAATGGCCGGGGCCTGTTGAGATGAGCACTAATGCGAGCCTATCCCCTTAACCATTTCAGTGAAGAAACCACGGTGGCAATGCATCAATCATCAAATCAGCAGTTTAACAAAGATGTTAACCTGGAAGAGTAAAGCATGTAAATGGATTATATCTTGACACTGACTGGGTATTAAGAGCATGCCAGGTGCAGACAGATCTCCCCGCTGTCACAGACTGAGGGATGCACTCTTGTCTTTAATATGGTGGAAGAGTTCGGAGATGGTATCCTCTGTTTCTCTGATGTATTATAGAGTGCGAGCTCTGATCCATGAAAGTATGGGGGAAGGGTGGAACAGTAGATTAGAAGTACGCTTCTGGCTGAGTCTGGATGTCTTCGGATGGGGTTTATTCAGGACAAACCTCTGATGTCTCTGAGATGCTTCGGCTTAGTACCTGGAGCTGTAGTTAATTGTACAAACAGTTGTTTGGGTCTTCGTTGACAAATCTTTATGTGTTTAATGCTTCCTTTAAGCAATCAGCTCCTGCTATTAAGCAAGTGATCGCTACACTGCTGCGCTGTGAAAGATGCTCCGCGATGAAACTTTGTATCTGGGGCTCACTGCATAAGCTAACTGTCCCACGTTTGCCGGAAGCTTACAAAACACCAGCTGATATTTAACAGTCGAATAAGCCGTCCCTCCTTTGTTTTTTTTGTCCAGAGTGCCTTCTGGGTGGTCAGCAGGATTGGTCATACCTGATTATTAACAACCATGCCTGCTGTAGCATGTTAATAGTTTTGTCTAAGTCTGGGATGAGGGTGCCAGCAGGAAAGAAGCTAGTGATGCAGAAAATTACAATGTGTTTCTTCCAACAAAAAAGGGCATTGTAATAAACTTTATGTGCAAGGGGAGAATTGTGTTTGCAGGAGACTGACAAAACAGGGCTTTCAGGCTACACCTGAAATATCAAAATGTAAATCGGAACAAAACACGCGAAAGATGTGACATTTTCTCTTTGCAAACTCACATTTAAACAATTTTGTAAGCCATTGAATTTGATCTGGCCCCTCACGCTTGGATGATGCCTATAAGAAGCCTTGAAGTAAAATGACAGATGAGTCATTTGAAGACGCCCCCTCACACAAAGGTGTCACCACTTCTGAACATCCTGTGCTACTGTATTCATTTCTATTCTTAGTAGATGTGATTTATTCTACTTAACGTGGAGCGTAAACCATAGTATGAAAGGGACTCTTAATAATTGAGGAAATATTTATTTTCCTCTGAAGCCCCTCTCAAGTCACAGTGGGGCTTTTCTTTTGATTTATTTCCTAATATTTGATTGTATAAATCAATATTTGTCAGCAAACACCTTTGCCAAGGTTATGACTAGAAGGATAAAACTCCTCACTCGCAGGGGATTAATGTAGACCAAGTAAACCCACACAAGCCAGTCTTGATGGGCGAAAGGATTAAAAACCACCCACCTCCTTAGTTCCCAATACTCTCTTGAGTAGTGCTGTTATCAAAATAATTCAGAACATAGAGGTATTCATAATGTGAATGTGGGAAAAGGCAAAGCCTGTGTGGATGGGTAAAATGTAGGAATTTGAAATCAACTATTATGAAGGATAAAGATGTGAAAGTCTGATGAAAATCCAAAAGAGGAAGGAGACATAGTGCGGTAAACAAGGGGAGAGAAAAACCAAAAACCAAGAGACTCTTGAAACAAAATGAAGCATCCAAGTTGCAAGTCTAAGCCTCAAGTCTAAGGAAATCAAATGCCCTCTAAAGATAAATCATTCTCTCTGACAGAGAATGGGAAATAAGAAATGACAGCAAACTCCCCGCAGCGTCCTGCACAGTGTTTGTATAGTCTGCGTGTATGAGTGTGAGTAATGCAGGCCAGTGTCTGGACAGGACTTTTTCCACAGGGTAAAAGTCTACATTTATTTTTTCCTTTTTCTTTTCACGCACTACTAACAAACCCACAAAAACAAAGTGTAATTGTGTACACTCCTTTTTTGTTATGAAGTCTTGTGCATTGAAAATCCCAAGACTTCTCTTTTCCCCCATCATCTCTTTCATTTGACGCTTTTCTCAACCCTAGCTGCAGCCAGCTATTTTTTTTTGTTAACTTTTAATACATGCACATTGAGAATGCCACCAAAAATAAAGGCTTATTCTTTGGTTTAGCTCTATCTCATTATTTGATTTGTTCAGCTTAACAGGAAAGCATTGTTTTGCATTTTACAGTCATTTTAGTCACTCAGGATTAAACAGATGTGCCGAGGCTGTCTTTCTGTTTTATTGCTTCCTGTTATTTTTCTGCTTACAGCATGTTTGCAGGTCAATTAAGGACTAAAAGGAAGAACATGTTTCAAAAAGCAGCGCTTCAAGCGAACAATTATTTGAACAAAAAGCCATTTAATTTGTGACCTTTAATTAAATGCAATATATTTATGCAACTTTCGGGCCTTTTGATTTGAGAAATGTTGTATTACTCACTCCAGAAATCCTGATTGGTCTTCAGGCTACAGGACTTCTGTTTTTTAAACTGCCAGGCTCATAGTATCAAATCCGTACTTTATGGCAGAGCGGCTAGGACAAACCCTAAAGTTAATAGTGCTGGAACATAAATCCACATTTATTGTATCAAAGGCTGATGAAGACAAGGGGTAACGCGTTGCCAAAGAATGCATCTCTGAGCAAAAGCGGTGCGATCTGGTCCATTAGAGCAAACATGCGTGCAGTCATGCAGGCTCCCATTCATGCACCTGTGCACATTCATACTCCCTCAAGGTTTCACTTTAAAGAGACACAAGATGTGACCTTTTACTAATTAGAACTACTAAGAAAGCCTGCACAATTTCCATCTTCCCTAAATCAATTAAATAAGTTGGTTTCCAAAGAAAAACCTGATTCGTTTCAAGCTCAAATGAATCAAATATTCTGCTTTTATTTTTATAATAAACATGTCCGTGATTTTGCTCTTTACCACACAGTAATAAGACTTTATTTGCCATATCAACTTAATACAAACCAGTAATGAGGTTGTTGAGCTCCAATCAGAAGAAATCAAAGACTCTGGACTTCATAATTAAGGGGACATTAGAGAATTATAGTGCTTAGCAAAACTCTTTCCCACCAGCATTTTGACTGCGAGGTCTAAAAGTTCGGTAACTTAAATAAATAAAATGGCCTAAAGGAGGAGAAAATTGAAATTAATGAAAGGGATAAGGCTACAGGCACAGCAGACGCAGCCATGAATGAAAGAGTGGCATTTGCTCTGATGCAGCTTCTCTCTGACAGTCCTCATGCATGGCTCACAATGTTCACACTCAGATGGCTAATTATTAACTCTTTCCTCCGACTTTTCCGATCAATATGTTTTTTTGTTTTTTTTTGCACCACATGTTTTTACCTCTCTGCGAGCTGTTTCTGTGTTTGTTTAGGTGATGGGTTATAGAAAGGTTTCATTCCGAGGACACTGCCATTAAATTTTCCCTATATATGGATTGCCATGACTACTAGGGAGCTGGGGGTGGTGGTATTATTAGTTTATGCTTGCTGTGATTGCTGTGCACTTGTTCTTCTTCAACTTGCTGTGCCTTCGGATGTTCCTGGCGTAAGACTTCAATGCAACTTACGCACTTAATTCAACATTCCAGTGCATTCCAGTGTACACCCACTGCTGCATGAGCGCTTATCTTTGAGAAAAATATCTGTGTGATATGTTATCTTGCTGAGAAGCCTTCATAGAGTTCAGGTGTGGACAAGATTCCACTTCAATGGAAAGAGATTTGCCGTCTCCTCCTGCAAATGATGCTCTTTGAAAACTTTGATCCGGTGGTTTCAAGAAAGAAAAGGAAGAGACACTGTGCAACGATGGATTCTTTGTGGTCACCGTAGGTTATTTAACCTTTCTGTTAACATCCCCCAACAGCTCTTTCCACATTGTGCTGGAATGATTACATTCCTAAATCAGTTTTCTTGCCCAATGGAAGAAAAAAAAAAACGGTAAATGCTGAAATGGTACGTTCAATAGGAGTGCTGAGAAGAGATTGAATTTGGCCATTTCAAAGTTGTTATGGAAACAAGATGAGACTGAGAAACAATCAGACCCTCTGACAGATTCAATCAAATCTGGAAATATTCTGCTAATTAAGCCTTTTGTGTGAAGTGACCCGTGTGCCCCAATCTTCTCTTTAATTCAATTTGTAATATGTTCACTTTTTATTATTTTTTCCCCTTCTTTTTCCTCCTCTCCTGCCTCCCGTCATCTCCTCTGCATCTTACTGATGTACATGATGATGTCATCCTCTCCCGTGAGTTAAGAGGGTGAGGTGAAAGCTCCTGTTTTGCTCCAGCAGTGGGGTTAAGAGCCCACTCGCTGAGATAAGAGAGCATTGTTTACTTGGCCCAGGCTCGTTACAACTCCCACACAGACACCCATGGAGAGCTCTACCGCCCGCACTCCACAACTTTACAGTCATACTTTCCACAATGTGCTGCGTGATTGTGGTTAATTATTAGGAACTTAAATTGGTACTTACACGGAGAAATACAGGAGCAGAACCCGCTGTAATTACTTGATTCACATTTACTGTATTTCTAATTTATTTCCCATATCGGTATCAGTGAAGAATCTGTTTTAGCATCATTCTGTACAAATGCTGGGAGATTGAAATAGTCAGTTATTCAAACGTGTTTTGTGTATTTCCTCAAATCCAGAAGTGGGTAATTGAAAAAAAAAAAAAATCCTCCTTGGGAATAATAAATTATTTTTCATTCTGAATAAATTTCGGTTAATATCTTTTGCACCACCATTTTGCAGTTTAACAGAATACATTTGTTGCCCAGGGAAAATAAAAAAACTATGTATTTTTGTTTTCCTGTCTGAACACGAGCACATTCACACACGGACACCATCCCACTCATCACCTGTCACAGCTCTTGTATTTTCCCCCCCAATCATTTGCCCATTTGTTATTCTGCTGGCTGTCAAATCTCTTCTCTTTTCCTCTCTCAGTCTGAACTGCCACGGATTTCAAAACCTGCAACAACCTGCCACCCGCTCCTTCCCACTCTCTCCCCTTTGTAAAGTTTGGATTGGGGTTACGTACCGGTACTTCATGCCGGTCAGCTTGGCGGTGGACTCCTTGAGGTTGTGGTGGTAGCGGTGGCTGAAGGAGCCCAGACTGCGGGCTATGAGAGCCACCGTGCGGAAACGGGCTCGGGCATGGCTGGTTGTGTTGGGGCTGGTGGCGTTCTGCTTGCTGTGCTCCCCGTTGCGAGGGGCCTTCAGCCCGTGGTCCGTGCATGCAATGGACACCTGCATGGCTGCTAAGAAAGTCGACTAGGATAACAAAGTCTGGTTTGTGCCTTTGAATGAAGTCTGTTGAGCCTAGGTTTTGGCTTTTGGTGTTACGTGAAGCTCGAAGTCAAAGGTCCTGGCCAGTCCTTTCTAATGCTGCCGAATATCATTAGAGACAATACAGGAATGATACAGGAGAGATGTAATGGTAAAGTTAGTCAGTTTCTGTTCAGAGAGGAGTCTCAAACCTAATCAACCTCAACCCGGCATGTCAGTGGTGTAGCCTTGGTCATTGTGTGAGGAGTGAAGACGGTAGTGGTCAGACAGCACCTGGAAATATGAGAGAGGGTGGAGATGGAGGGAGAAGGATGGAGAAGAAGCACTGAATGAGTCGCCCAGAAAGTGTTCCAATTGAGAAGGAAACTCAGCTCAACTAGGAGACGAAAATATGTAGTCAAAAAGCAGAATGAGGGAGAAAAGCTGTCCTTGTTTTCTGCATCTCTGCTGTTTCCCTCAGTTTGAAACCTTCTGTTCACATCTCTTTTCTGTCGCGGCACGGTTTAAAGAAAGTTCTTTCCGTCCCAGTTTTTTCAGATTTTTTTTGTTTTCCCTGTTTCAATGTAGTTCTCTTGCCTGTTTGTAAATATGTGTTACTTTTCTAACTTCGATTTGTTTGCCATGTTTTCTGATTTTTGTGTTTCTGCTCAGTCTGTTACACATGCCACTTTTTTTTTTCTCAGACTCTGTCAGGCTTCCAGGCACAGTGGGTGTCAAGGTAGTCTTTCTTGCCCACCAACTGTGGCTAAACCTTTTAGTCAAGCACCTGAAGCGAGTAGAATAACGCTGCACCACCTTATTGTGCTGTTGGCGTCACACACACACACACAAACACATGCACATCATCACAGGAACTCCCACCTCAGCCACACATCTACAGAAGGTCATCCGTAATCCAAGTGTGAATGCCTACCGATAAAATCTTTGCATGCTCATACTTTCTTTAAAATCAATCCCTTTCTTTCAACTCAAAACACACACACGTAAACAAAATCTTTAAGTGCTCCAATTGTTCTTACAGTGAGTTGCCGGCGATCAGTGAGAAAGGCAGACGAGCCCGGATTGATTCAGAGGCGCTCTCCTACAACTTTGAGACCTGTCTGTAGGTCGTTCCAAGCAGTGTTCAAGATAGAAGGGAGGTCCCCCACAAATGTAAATTCCGTCATAGGAAAACACTCTCCCGCGGCTGTCCTTGACCCAATCAAAATGCCTTGTCCTGTCCCAAAAGTCCTCAGGGCAGGCGGGGAGCGTCTTGTGGTCCCTGGCTCTGCAGCAGAAGAGCTCTGTGTGGCAGAGGTACCTTAGAACGGTCACAGACAAGCCGAGAGGAGGAGGAGGAGGAGAACGGAGGATGCATGGTACCTCACTTCATGGAGAGGAGGACAGATGCAGTGAGGAGGCGAGGAGCAGCATGTGTTGAGCGCAGAGAGAGCGAGCCAGTCACTGAATGAGGGGGAGAGACTGTGCGTACAGGCGACTGGCTGATCAAGTGGCTGAAAGAACTGCAGTGCTTTTCACTATGGCGCCACACAGAGCGAGGTAGAGCGAGCGCCAGATTCTGAATGGATGCAAAGACTTGATGTATGTGGTGTGTCTTCTCACTCTGAGAATTTCCCCGCATGCAGCTGGTCGGTTACATTTACACTAATGTGAATTTCATGGGCATGCTTCACTTCACCCTACATCTTCTGTCAGCTCCAGCTTTCTGTTGTTTTTACTGTGGAATCTCTCCTTGTACACATAATGAAGTCTTCAAATGTATATCCTGCAAAAAGGACCTAATAGCACTGCACTTGTTGTGCAGTGAGAAATTACAGTTCACAGTTTCAGCAGATTAACACTAACTCTGAACACATGGTGAGTATAGATAGATTAAAGTGTAGATTAAAGTGCTATAGAGCACAAAATCCACTGAACAGAACAGAGCCTCGCTTTCCTCCCCCACGTTACACTTATGTGACAGTGCCAGATTACATGGTTCATTGAAAATCCACACACCTCGAGGCCAGCTTGGTTTTATTTAGATCATTGCGATTGTGTTTGATAAGAGAAGACACTTGTAAAAATCAGTTTTACAAGCTTTGCCATTTTCAAAGATTTTATTTTTAGAGCTCTGCATGACTAAGTTTTCATGCTTTACTGTTAAGAAAATGTAATTTGTCATTTTCATAGAGTATACCGATAAAGCACATCTTGCATGGAACACTGTGTACATAGATTCAGATAAAGGGATGTTTTTTTTTTAAAATAGTGTCAATCTGAGTCAAATGATTTTGACAGTTACCCAAATCTCTTGTACTTTAAAAAGCTTTTAATTTGGTATTATTTTTAAAAAATCTAAATAAATAAAAATCTTGTCGGCACAAAGTAGCAAGCTGTTTTGATTGGTTATGGGGTTGATCCAAAATGGAAGTGGAAGTCAAGCTGCTTGGTCGTTGTTTGAAATGTTCCACACTAGACACCGATTGTCCGTCAAACAAAAGGTTGGACGGCAAAGGAGGCATTTCAGGCACTTGACATGTAGCATCTTTTGAAGGAGAAAACACCACTCTTTAGAGAGGACATCTGCAGATATTTCACTTAGAAATGTAGATGTGCATTCCCAAGTTAAAGAGGAGATGAATGATAAATAATAAAAGCAGGTCTAGTGGAGCATTTTGGGAGGCAGATCATGCACATGATACAAGCAAAAACATGCTACATTTTTTGAGAAATTTGGCTTTCAAGTTGAAAGCCTTTGCTGAATAAATTAACCTGATGAATGAAAAATACATTCTATGTAAGCTTTCCTGTGAATTATATGTAATTCAGAGTAATGCTCTAGATTCTACTGTAAAAGTGTTAGTTTTTTGGGGGGGTTAGGGATGATTTCATCAAAGAAGATGAATGAAGAAATCTTATTCTTACTACTTGCTCCATAATGGGGACCCGTAACAACTGAAGGCAGTTAAAACCTGCTTCAGCCGTGAGCACACTGATATTGTTTGACTTTGAGCTGCCTGTCTACAAAAACATAGTCAAGGTTGTTTCTGCAAGTATAACTATGGAAGACTTTCTCCAGGGTCTTAGCGTGAAGTTGGCATAAGCCTGTTTTAAATCTTACAGTCTTCGTTGAAAGTATCTCTGATGTCACAAGCACCTCTAACATTTCTTTCTGTCTGTTGATCCTACTCAAAGGTGTGTCAGTCCAAAGCATTCACTGTGGCTGGAACATTCGTGTCTTGAGTCCCCAATGATGAAAAATGCTGACATCCTGAGGAAACATGCTCTGCTTTAACTGCTTGAGTGAACAAAACTAGCAGACTTCTGAAACTCTTGCTTCACCTTGTGTGAGGACATTTAGGTCAGCATCACTGTGGAAGTTCCTTTACAGAGTTCTGGACATCCAACAGGTAGAAATGTCAGCACCATAATAACTCACTACAATAGTAGATTATCAAATGATGTACTGGTACCTTGTAACGTGAGATTTAGTATCACAACAATTATGCATTATTAGTGTGCTGGGGTACAGAAACGTTTTTCACTCTCATGTTTAAAAGGTGACGTCTTTCTTGTCAACACTCAACTGAGGTGGAAATGACCAATGATGAGAGGGGAATTCTTTCTAAGTAGTCTACGACATCCCTGCTGCTGCAGTCTCACCTCTACAATGCTTGGTCATTTTTTTTCCTGGCTTTCCTCATCCTCCCCATCCCTGCACAGACACTGTAGTCTTCCCTCTGTGCTGCAGATTAGACCAGGAGTGCAAGTCATTGTGATGCAATGAGCGTACAGCCCCATGAAGTAAGCACTGCTTGTTTAATCTGTTCTAACAGGGACTCTGTGTAAACGCGAGAACCAGAGCTACTAAACTACTAATTGTACTGCAGGCATGCAAACGTTTGTAACACACTGATCAAGATGGATGACTCTGTCCAGACAGAAGGCCAAATTACTGCGAGACGTTTTGACAGAAACGGTCAAGGTCAACCAATCATTATGCACCACAGCATCAAAACCATCATTTCTGTCATCGGTGCTTGACACTTTGAATCCACTGTTATATATACACTAACAAATTCTGACTACATCTTTGGTGGGTCCGCCTACACATATTTCCAACCTGATGCACCTGGTGTGACTGCCCAGCAGGCATGTGGCAAAATGGCGGGTTATTGACTGATCGGAGGAACATGAAAGCAGGGTCATTTATACACTGACTGGTTGATTGATTTAGTATTGATTAAAAGTTTGAGTAACTGCAGAATGAATGCCTTAGGACAAATGGCCAAGAAGTACACCTAGGAGTATTACGTAAATAACAATTTTCCAGGTAGCAGTTCATCCTGAAAGAGTTGGTGGGCGTGTTGTATCTATTTAAATAATACAGATATATCACTGCAGTTTTAAATGTTTAGCACATTTGTTACAGCTGTTATAGGCTTTTCACAGAATCAGATTTTCTAACATTTTTTCAGGGATGAAAATAACTAAATGAAAAGTGTATAAATGTATATGTAACCAAAACTGTAGTGTACAGGTTATTAATTACAAAAGAATGAACAGTAAACCTACTAAACATTCATGTTCTTCAGGATGATCAGTTTAAAATCATTCTCAATACTCATCATGTATAGCTTTAGCCAAACATGGATATTTGATTTTAAGTATCATAATAAACTTTGAGCTCATTAAGATTTCAATGAGAGTTGGAAATAAATAAAGAATTTAAATATATATTTGCTGTTCTGAATCAGAGCTATGATCAAGTCTGGAAAGTCTGTAAAATATCCACAATAGTAATCTAACCCATGTATGTTCAGTGACCCCAATAGGTCCATACTTTGCAATGTGAGATTACATATGAAAGTTTTAATGCAAACTTTTATGATCAAGTACATTTTCAGGGTTTGTGACTCCATAGACAAAAAGATTGGGTTATCTTTAGTTTTCCTCAGTCCAAAGACAACCAAGAATCAGCACAA